AGATATAATCAAGATGATTTTTGTTATGTTAAAGGACGCTATCAGCTGTTGGGAGAGAAAAACCAAACAGTGGAAAACGCTATCAGCTGTTGGGAGAGAAAAACCAAACAGTGGTCCTACAATGGATTCCTGGTCACTGTGGCATTAAAGACAATGAGCTTGCTGACGCACTTGCTAAGAAAGGGACAACGATTTTGCAAGGTATAGACCTTCTCGGAACAATGATTCCTTTCACTATTAAATAAAGCCACCATTGAGGATAGTAATCAACTTACTCAGCAATATTTTCTGATACAAATTCTCCTTGCCAACAAGTTCCTTCTTCGTGTTGCCTACAATTTTAAGAATTTTTTTGAAATGGATCATAATTAATAAGATAATTAAAAATGTTTTGTTTGGTGATTGTTTTTTAATTCTATTCACTATTAATATTCAGTTTCATTTGATTTGATGTGGCAATGTCCTACTAGGTCCAGTCAACCTGTTTTTGTCATGCTTGCAGTTAGAAAGAAAGCTATCAAAATATAATGTCCCAATAAATGGATCACGTGTATTTGCATATAGACTTAACAATAATGGTATATTACGAGCACGTTTTTGTCTAATCTCACTCTCTCTCTCTGTATTTAACCAAGGCAGCATTTTTCTAGTGCAACAGATCTATCCACTCAATCCTGTATTATAGTCTTTGGATATGAAAAGCATTCTCCTTGCCTTTATAAGGATTTCCAATTCAATGAGGGGACGCTTAATTTAGCTTTTTTACGTTCTTTCGTTCCACATTGAATAATCTGTTGTGGAAGGTGACAATGACGCTTAACGTAATAAGTGAACAATCACATTTCGGTTGATTTCATAAAGGCATAAATAGCAATATCATGCTCCCAAAAAATCCTAATGGTTTCTTACTTTTATGCTTTCTAATTGCCAAACAATTTAAGAAAAAAATAGATCGATCTTAGATAAATAAGTTCTAGGACCTCATTACAGGAGTGTTTTTTGACACATTTCCTCCGGAGAGGCAAATGACGTTTTGGTTCCTCGCTAGTGAGCACCAAATTTTAAGTTGTATGCCAATTCGAAAAGATTTTATCATATTTTAATTATCTTATTTAAAAATACCTATAACATTACTAATTTAATAATTTGAAATTTTTTTCTTGCATCAACGCTGGAAGCTGCTGAATCTAACAAACGCCTTAGTTGAATTATCGACAACCAATAAGAATGGTCTTGAACCGATTTTACTACAACAAATTTTCATAAATTAGCTCTAATTAAATTGGCAAAAAGCTCAAAATGAATCTTTAATTTAATGCAATTAATTATCGTGTCATTAAAGCTAATAATGTGTGTGGTGTTATGGAAATAAGGTTGCAATTCAAGCCGAAAACTTACTCTTCGACATTCACGGGCGCATCGTTGAAATCTAAAGTTTCATCGTCTTCTTCACTCCAACTATTATCGCTTCTATAAATAATTCAAAAAATTTGGTTGATTAAATAATTTCAATGACTTTTGGAGGAAATAGATCCTTTAAACTAAGTTGACGAAGCATTCAAATAACTAAATTAGTCAACCGAACTCTATTGGCTTGATCTCATCCAGGAAACCTCGGTTAAATAAGAAAAAACGACATTTTAACAAAATGGCTCACGATACCGATTTTGCAAATACATGTTTTAAAGTTAGATTTTGTTAAACTTTAGGGAAATGAATAACGAGGACACGGCGAATACCTATAGGATAAGATTAAATTGATTAAATAGTGCCATATATGAGTTTTATTAAGCGGCATTTAAAACGAAAAATAAATAAATAATCAAAATCATATGTCGTGACAATTTTGGAAACTCTAGGTTAGAGATGCGAACATCTCAAGCTCATCAGCTAGAACCCTAACACTACTGACATCCAGTTATCATAAACGAAAAATGTACCTTGACACGAATTTCCAATCAAATTCTCTATTCAAAAGTTAAGTTTTGGTAATAATTGAAAGCAATACTTACTTTTCAACTGGCCTATAAACGATGGTTACGACGGAATCATCACTGTCACTTTCGTAAGGATCAAATCTAAAAAGATATATAACATTCATTCTTACATCCACTCCTATCTATTCTCATTTGTGACACTTAGCGATCATGAAAGTGGTGCTATGTTCAAGAAAGGTGTTTGATTCAAAATTTGTGACGCTATCGTAATAGCCATTTTACCTTTTTGACATAAGCATTTTAGAATGATTAAAAATGTTAAAAAATTAATTTGTTCGATTGTTTTTGCTGGTTTCCTACTATTAACAACGATAGAAGGATTTCTTCAAATAAAAGAAATGAATCAAATTCAGAATGTTAGTATAGAGTTCATATTTTTCAGTTATTGGACCATCAAATTTGGGTTCCAAAAAATACCAGAAAAAAACACTTTTGCCTATCTAAGCTTGTATGCATATGCTGTTTCGCTAACACCAACCAATGCGTAATAATGAATTACTTCTAAAAATAGAAAGTGAAATTTGACGTCTAGAAACAGCACATTTTTGAGGTAATTCAAGATGCGATTTCTCTTAAACTTTACCACATCAAAGACCTATGAGTGGTCCTTCAAACTAAATTACTAAATATTCGATATTTAAAGAAATTGCCAAAGTATTCATTGCCTAGTTAAATCTATCAAAAATCAGTATAATAATTAAAAAATTTTTAATAATGCTTTCCCCTATTAGCATTCATTCGTTTGAAAGTGAAGGGTTTCCCCCTTCAATTCAAATAAGTCATTTAAGCTTTTTTATGAAAAATCCATTTTGTCGACCTTCTAGATTTTCCGATGTGCAATCGGTTGCATTTTGAAAGCTGAATTTACGATTTAACTTTATTTCTGATCATTTAAAGCATTTTCACTAATCTTAGACTAATACGGATTTGCCTATGGTGATTGTTTCATCGCCAGGTTTCTCTTAAACAATGAAATCATTTTAATATGTAGATCAAAAATAAAAAAAAACAATTTAACTTTTTACAAAATAACGTACTTCACAAATTCACTTGAGATTTCTTCAGATTCAGTTTCTTGGTTGATCTTGTCATCTGCAGTTTCTCTAAACATTTAGAAGGGTTAAAATGAGCACTAGGGAAAGGTCAACTAATTTCAATCGTTAATGGTGAGATGATTGCATGGAACCACTTATTTCACTTATTTCCGGTCATCAACTAGAACTTTTTTTCTCGCAGAGGCTGTGATACTCACTTCACTTTTTCAAATAAGTTCAAATGGAGAATTTAGGTAACACATTGACATTTTAAATTTAATCATTTTTAAAAATAATCATGTCTAAGTTATTCATTTACATCGGTAGAAATACCCTCTTAACCAAATCGCGTCCAGTCTTGTTTTCACTTGTTAAAATTATTCAATTATCAAAACAGTAGCACTTTGATGTAAAATTTTACTGATAAAAGTGGTGAAAACTCACTCCTCCATAAAAATTGAAACTTCTCCCAAGTTGAATGGGCAATCGGGAAAATCATCTTCTGTGTTTCTAAAAATTACACATTAATTTTGTTCATATTATCTTCACTTTATTTAAATTACTTAACTCAATCTACTTACAAATCTGATTCCTTTGACTCCTCAATATCCTCTACTTCGATATTTGTTCTACAATTTCAATATAGAAGGCGTTGTTTATTAAGAGAGCGTGTTTATAAATATTAAAGAAATTTGTCCTCTATAGGACAACGATTTGGCATAATTTGGGAATAATTTTAAGTGCAAATGTAGGTACCATTAGCAAAATGTAATTTAAGATAGAATTCTCCGTTTTGAAATTTATTCAATACTTAAAGTGATCTACAGTGTAGGCTGATAATCGATTTTATAATCGATTAATACGTATTCATTTTCAGGATTTTTGTGACTGCCAACTTTCCTTTGGGTAACATGTGACAAAAATAGTAGGTTAAAATGAATAGAAAAGTTGCATGTTAATATAAAGTAAATACGATAATGTTAGGAATACCAAAAGGCAAAATACTTCTTAATTAGCTAACACAGTAGCTTCTTTGCATAAATTGGCTTTTGAGAGGTTTCGAAAATGCTTAAAAATTGCTAACATTGATGCATATCTCTCAAAAGGGTTTAAAAAACCTGTCTACTCTATCGTCGTGTAAACCGCAAAGATTGTCTGAAACCTTGAAAGATTAATCTGACCAATTCAGGGACCACAGCACAATGAGTACAAAAGACAAGAAAGCCTCTTCAAACGACGACATTAAACTAACAGAACGCACTCTCTAGAGTTAAGCCACGATTAGACAAAATTTTCGTTCTTATTTTTCTAGACTTTCTCCTCCCCTTGTTAAAAATATTAATTTTAGCTATAAATCATCCTTTCAAATGCTCTAATATGTGTGTATGAATTGATTCATTTTCAAAATTATTTTTAAACCATTATTAAAAGCCTCTGTCTATCGGGCTTGCACGAATTTTTTCAACAATAAAATAAGAGTGAAAAATTAAATTTGATACTTACGTGGCCTGTGTAGGGTTCGGAAGGATACACATTTGGTCCGACGCACACATCCCAATTTTATTACACCTGATATATGTGTAAACGTTGTGTAAGTATCATCGAAAATAATGTTTTAGCAAACACTTACAATAATGATTTAGAAATCTTCAACTTTCTTCTTAATTTGCGAAGTGATTTAGGTTTTTCCAGGTTGCTTTCCGATAAGTCGAATTTATACACTAGACCATTACTAGTAGCCACAAAAAGAACGTTTCTAAAAGAATAAACATATTAATTTATGATAAATATAACAGAGTGTCTTTTCTACACCTGGGATACCATACTTCTATACATATTTTATGGATAACCCGATTAGATATGACTCAGTTCTCAAGCAATTTGTCTGTTCACAGAGATATGTTGACGTCTTAACGAGTTTTGTGACAATTGCCTCTACATGAAGATCTCAAAGGCATATATTTGAATTCATCTCTTAATATAAATGACCACAATGTGCACTTATCTAAACTCACCCCAACAATTTTCTTTACTCCCAAAACAGTACTGATTGCATATCTTGAGGATCACAGCCGAAATACCCAGTTGTTATCCTTTCTATGTGAAAATTGATATTACCTTTTTCATTGTATTGTTAAATATTTGAGCTAAGGTGGCTTTTGACTCATGAACACACTAGATTAAGTTACTATCTCAGTTCAAACAACTCATTAAAGCCAGAAGAATTGCGCATCAAAGCATAGTTTGATTTAATTTGAGATACAGGGCTGATAAGATCAAGATTAATAAAATGAAAATAATGCGATCATCATCATATATCCGCCAAAAAGATAAATCCATGGACTTGAACACGGAACATTGATCAATGGAAATGAGAGCAATGGAGCCCTACTTATCAGCAAAATGGTAACAAACCTGCTGATTCGGTAATCTAGGTTTATCGCGGGTATGAACTCATTGAGATAGCCAGTGTCTTAAGCTAGAAATTTGCACTTTGGTGAGTTAGATTATTGCATAATAAATTTAAACAGTTAGTGAAGACTGGGCAAAATGTATATTTGCTACCCTAAGGTGGAATGCGCATTTGTAGTAATTTGGTGAAGTCATTAAGGAAAAATGTCAAATTAAACCGGCAAATAGGGCGTTCTTATTATTGACATTCTGTTATTTACAATTGGCTTTTTCCAAAACACAATGAACTTTAAATTGATAAAAAATTTAATCACATTCTTATTTATTTATTTATTTAAAAGATGCTCACCTAAAAAGCGCGATACCTTTTTTAACTTTCTTTGCCTCACCTCCTGCCATTTCCTCACAGTCAACATAGGCGAATTCGCTAAATTTTTGTCCGTTTCGTTTAAAAATGTAGACTTTGTTGTTATCACAGGAGCAAGAGAGGAAGTTTCCATTCAAATTAAATTTCATGGAGTTTATAATAGCGTTTCTGCAAAAAAATTTCATTTATAATGGTATGTTTTAAACAAATAACACCGAATTCAAATGTCAGACCGATTCGAATAAAGTAGAACACCAAAAATTAATATCCACCGACCATTACTTATGCACCTGATTCTCAGTTTATTTTAAATGCAAACAAGCTGAATAAAGACGAGTAAATGAGGAATGCAAATGTCATCTAAATTTGCTTGAAACCGGATGCACAACCTGTTGGAAAAATATACCAGTGAAAGTTGTCAAGAAAATATTATTTTTCAGGATCAAATTATTCCAATTTTAAAATGTTACTCCAGTCCAAAATGTACTCTTTATTTAACATTTTGGTCAAATTGACAGTTTACCGGCAGTTGACTTCAAACTACCATGACAAGACTGTAAAAAAACCTCAGTAGGAGAAATCGGCCTTGTCACGGAGAACCATAACTTCCACAGATCCTTCAGTGGAATGTTGGAGAGATGTCACAAGATATGAAGATTCAAAACCAGAAAATCCAGCTTATCTATGATGTACACATATTCAATATCATGGAAGTCAACCTTACGGATGACAAACTCACATATTCAAAAATTCAAGGTTACACCTTATATTTGCTAACTAAAGACTGACAATTAGCAAAGGGGTTTTGACTGGAGCAAAAGAAGGCCCCACATCATATTGCGACATAAAAAGAGTATGGGTTCATTCCAGGATGTATGCGAAATAATTAGATTAAAAGTATGGAAAAGTCAAAACCACTTTAAGAAGTATGCGGTCTATTATAGACCCAAATGCGGTCTTCCTAACATCTCCCACAAAACTGTAGTATTAGGAGGCTTCAATGCCCATTCCACCAGATGGGGCTGAAAAGGAAATCGAAGACGGGCTTAACAACAGCCCTCTAGAACTTATTCGCAACGATGAGGATCCTGCTACGTATCTGCACTACAATGGAACTAGAACGATCTTTGAAAAGCTCGTGGTTTCAAGCTACATCAGCAAGCTCACACAACTCAAAATAAACGACGAACCTGAATTTGGTCGCAAACCAGTCATTGCTGGTATTAATATCAACTCCAAATGCATGACACCAAAAATGCCATCTATGCTATCGTCGAACTGCAGGAAGGCCGACTGACCTAAGTTTACAAATCTTTTAGAAAGCGAACTACACGCAGGTCTCATCAACTAAAGCCACCATCCTGACAAACTATGCAACAATATCACCAATATTATAATCGGATGTGCAAAGAACTCTATGCCAAAACAACAATAAAAGACCCAAGAAAGAATCAATAAGATTAAACAACATACTGATAACCAATTACTCGAAATAGCTAACTGCTTTGCGAATTCTATTCCCACAGGCAAAAGAAAAACCCTTTTGTCAGAACTTAATGCTGCAATAAAACAGCTAANGTGCAAAGAACTCTATGCCAAAACAACAATAAAAGACCCAAGAAAGAATCAATAAGATTAAACAACATACTGATAACCAATTACTCCGAAATAGCTAACTACTTTGCAAGGTTCTATTCCCACAAGCAAAAGAGAAACCTTTTTGTCAGAAACTCTTCAAGAGATATAAAGAATCAATAAAGACAGTTTGGTGAAATTAAGGAAAACATAACAATACCAAATCATGTACTTACTGAACCATTTAGCTCTCAAACACCAAATCATGTACTTACTGAACCATTTAGCTCTCAAGAACTTAATGCTGCGATAAAACAGCTAAAGTGCAAGAAGTCTCCTGGGGAAGACGGTATCCATCCGGAAATTCTAATCAGAATAGGGCCAAAAGCCAAGGAAATCATGCTGACACTTTTCAACAAAATTAGGGAGACTAGTCTCGTACCTACCCAATGGAAAGTTGCCATAGTAATACCAATACTAAAAAAGATGAAAGACCCTAGCAACTTTATAGGCCTATCTCCTTCACTGCCACTGCATAAACCGATGTCTTTCCACACACTTAAGACTTTAATCAGGAGAGATAACTGTAATTAATATTGCTTAACTGGCTAGTGTGTTCTTGTTATCCAACTGGAAACTGGGATATCGTGTAAGTAGATTGTATAATGAACCAGGAATTAAATACTACTTAAGTTTCAACAGCATTAATGACAGCACAAAACATAGGATTTTAATGTATAAGTATCTCAATTTCATAAAGATACTAAAATAACAATTTCACAAGTATTTCTACATCAAACATTGAAAAGTCAGCTCTATGAACATCTTTAAATGAATCGCATTTTTGGAAACGCTACTTCAGCTCATAAAAAGCGCTAAATTAATGTGAGCCGTGTTTGCAAAGATCAGTTGAAACATAAGTATGGCTACCATTATTATTTGAAATATATTTCAATCAATGCATTAATTAAGAAAAAGGGTGAAATTCTTGTCAGTGCAACGGACTATAGAAAGATATGAGTAAAGCTAATCAAGATAATCCGGCACCGAAATTCAAAAAATGTCATGAAATATAAAATAAATAAATAAAATAAATAGTTTCATACATAGGTAACCCTGGTATAAAGTCCTCGTACGCTTTTTGGTTAAATGGGTACGAATATATGCGTATAAGTCCACTTTCTGTTGATAGTGCAAGACGTGATGCATCAGGTCTGGCAACTACGGCAGTAATTGGTGACCTCATTTTAATCCCCCTTAGCTCCTAGGACGATAAGAATGTAGAGATGGAGACGTCAAACACAATAGAGATACGTTTACTCACGCGCTTTTTAACTTCCCGAATTATGATCTTAAAATCATTATGTGGATCTACGTAGGCAAGAGCGCATTTCCTACCATATTCTGCGAAAGCAGGGACACAATTCGTGGGATTGTAATGATACTTAACTACTTCTGTAAATTCCTTTCCTTTAAGAATATATATTGCATCACCAGCAATCGTCATAATCATCTAAATGTAATTCCGTAAAATTTTTTCCGCTTTATCTTACAGAAAAGGTTAGCTCCAAATGCGAAATTGGCTTAGGAAATTTAAAAGTTCGAAATTTTTCTGGCTCTTCACGACGGCAAATAAAAAGTACTTCAGAGAGTTCCTTGTAAACCATGACAGTGAATCTTTTGTTGCATCTAACCGATTTCGGAACGTTGGCTGCATAAATTTTAGGTAAATTTCTTGGCAATTAATGTCTTACTCATTATGTGAAAATTCAATGGCCGAAAATCTTCTGCGCTCACTACATGCCATCCATTGTATACTATAGAGATTTCTCTACAAAAAAATATGTTACTTTAATAGCTTTTTAAATAAGTGCTCTCTGTTTTTAAAGCTCAAATTTACTTCGTAAATCCATTAAACGCAGCACAGCGTATCATATCTGTCTTCAAAGCGCGGTTAGACTTTCAGGTGGCTTGATTTCTAATCACTGACTGCTTTTGAACTTATCTTAAGATTGGAAGTTTGCAAATTAATCTGCTCAAGTTATTAGCAAATGTTAGCAAATTTCTGAAAAAAAACATGAGCTGTTTGACATGTGAATTAGGTCAAAAGCATGAGAACATTAAACGCAATGAAAGCGCGAGTTTTAAATTTTAAATTATTATTATTGCCTAAGAAGCGTGTTGAAATAAATGTTCAGAGCATGCCATCTATGACAAAATTGAGACGGTCATGAGAACAGGTTCAATTAAGACAGGAAATTGTAATTGGTCCGCAACCCTATGATTTACGAATTCTTGCAAATTACCTCACTCCGGGTCAAGGCAAGATTGCACTTTGGATGCGCGACAGACTTACCTTCCTGTGCAGCATATATTCATACGGCTAAAAAGTCTATAAACCGGCAATTGACTTCTGACTTCAAACTATCATGACCCCACTGTATGTCATATTCAACCACATCCACAGTACTCACTTCCTTTTCTCTACCTTTATGTCTATCCTTACATCTATGAAACACTCTTCTATTCTCCTCTCAACTGTTTGAGACATTAATGTCCCTCTCCCCTGTAAAGCTCGAAGTCAACTGAAGGGCTAATGATAACCACCATAAAGCCTGCCATTTGATTTAAATATTTTCCTTAGAAGAATAAGTTGTATCTTTAACCGCAATGCTATTGCTCATTGACTTAATTATTTAGCCATTAATTACCGACATTTTTCGCATAAATCATGACTTTTGTGTGGTAAAGGGTGGAAATCATAATGACGATATATCTAATAGTAACTCTGAAATTCTAAAAGCACCATTCGCCATCTGCCTTCCTCTGACAGATTTGTCGACGTGAAGTGAACAATAAAATCTTGATATTTTTTAACAATTTCCAATCTCCCCAGTAATGGTCAATCAATCCCAATTCACAAGAATTGTACTTAAACAATTTGTTAATTTAGCATAATTTGTACATTTATGCTATAATGAAAATCCCTGTAATATTCATCACTAAGGAATTAACAATATCTATCGCTCAAAGCTTGTCCATCAATGAAATGATTGTCTTCAAAAGCTGGATTTCAGACACTGCTCATTTTCCTCTTCTCCAAAAATCTGCCCAAATACTGTTTATTGAGATTGTTTTCGAACGCCCAGACTACTTATAAACCGTTACTTATGGCATGCATGCTCCGAATTGGTTTTGTGCACAAAATAAGTCCATTGTTTATGCTAAATCCCATCTCGCTTCAAAATTAGACCAAAATAAAACTGAAATGAATCTAAATTTTCACAAAGCCCAAATATGCATTCAGAAGTCAAAACATAAATATTTTTAACCTTTATAATCTTTCTTTGGCTACGCCTTCCGGGGAAACCCAACATTGTGGGATCTGGAAGAATATCTGAGGGAGAAACGTTGGGTAGATTAATGTGAACTCGAACGACTCCATTGGCAATATTTTCTTTCGGTATATCTGTAAGTGTTCCGTTTTCATTCAAATGGGGCTTGGATTCGTCACCATTGGGAGACCATATTCGTCTTAGACGAAGTGATATTTTGCCTCTTCCGAAGAATGTGGATGCCACTTTATAAATGGGCAAATTAGAGTCTTCCTTTTCAGCATTTCGTTTGTCTGTTTGATAATTTTCTTGCAGCTTACTTTCTGGCACATCCTTACTGAATCCCGTCATAGCTCAAGCATGGAAACAATCACTTCAAGTATCTACAATGAGAAAATTTTAAAAATCCTAATTTTATTCACAACCTGTTAAAATAATGGGATTTACAATTTAATGAAAAAGTGAGTTTATCAGTACTTATACTAGTTAAATTCAAGTTAAGTGAAATTCATTCTATCCTATCAGCTTAAACTTTAATAACTTGTAGGCACATTTTACGTGGATGAACTTTAGCACTGTCGATGGTATTATCTAAGTATTGTTTAAATAGGTCATAGTTCCACACATCTACATGGGGATTCTGTAGAAGCGAATGGTTACGCTAATGAGCCTTGACTTATGCCCATTGATCTCTATGACTCTCGTCGGAAAGGCTCCCGGGGCTAGCTACCCTACCTCAAAAGCATAGAGGAAATAGACATTACATGTTAGGTCTACTTGAGACGTGTGTCACTGACAGGAGCTTAGTCATAACAATACCATTAAAGGTTTATCAAACAATTCAGCCCAATCGATTGGTGGCTGACAATGATGATTCCGGGCACTTTCTATGCGGCGTATAGAATGGCCCCACCTTCGAGCCTGTCTGAATGCGAATGAGATTTCTTTATTCAACCATGACAGCGTTGCACAATCCACATAAGGACTGTTCCTGAGGTCTACTCAATTAAACATTATTTTTTGTCAAATGGCAGGCTTTATGACAGGTATCATTAGCCCTTTGGTTAACTTCAGGCTTTACGGAGGGGAGAAACATCAAAGTCACAAAAGCCGAGAGGGAAAACACCACATTGAATGATAGGTGTAAAAGCGACCGACGCAAAGGTAGAGAAAAAACTAGGGTGAGCAGTATTGAATTGATTGAATACGACATGGTAGTATAAAATTAATTGCCGGTTTTCGGACTTTTTGGCATTTGAGTTTATGTTGCTCAGGATGCTCCACGTGGAGGTAAGTCCATCGCACACCTCATATTTAATCATAAGTGTTCACAAAATCGATGATAAAATTACATATAGGTGACCTAACTTTGATCCTTTTTTCTCATAAAATAATAACTTGACTGTAATCTTCACTTTAAGCACTCTGTGTGTTTGGGATTAAGGATGAATTTGACTACAATATAGAACGGTGTGAAACTTCGTTTACCTTCAGGCATTGTTAAAAATGGAGTACAGTTTACAGAACTGTATTTTCGAAAAGTTAACTCTCACACAAGTATTTCTAAATTCAACTTTACGCTCATAATTGTAGATGCATCGATTATTTAGTGGGTTTAATGTGTAATTTAAATGAAGGGCAGTTACCAAGATGCACAGTGATTCAGGTTTTCTTACGATAATTACATTATGCCGTCTGTGACTTTAAAGATCGTCCTTTCCATACACTCCTCCAACGTATGCTTCTTAAGGCATGAAGTAAGATGTGTCCGAGCAAAAGCCTGTTTAAATCAATAGCTTTTTACGTCTAAGAGCAAACAGTCTATGTCAATAGCACTCTTTATCTTCAGCTATATCGAGCAATGAAACTTTATTTATTTTTTTTCATGGGGTGTGCGATAGACTTACCTCCACGTGGTGCACCCTGGGCAACGTATATTCAAATGACAAAAAAGTCTGTTAACCGGCAGTTGACTTCTGGCTTCAAACTACCATGACATGTCATATTCCACCACTTCCACAGTGTTCATCTTACCTTTTCTCTACCTCTGTGTCTGTCTGCCTCTATTACATCTTTGAAGCACTCTTCTGTTCCCCCACTCTCAAGTTTTTTCTCTTTGATGTACCTTCCCCTCTGTGATCCCTGAAGTCAACTAAAGGGCTAATGCAAACTATCAAAACGCCTGCCATTTAATATAAATAAATAAAGATATTTCATCTTTCTCAGAAACTCTCATTTTGTTTGAGATTTAACACAGATTGAAAAAAAATGAAAGTGAAGATCGATTTTTGAATGAAATTCAACTAAATATATGAATTGTAAGCTAATTTGCAAGTTTATTACTCAATCAATGTTACTGTTAAGTCCCATTATGATTTCCATTCAAATAATCTATGCAAGATACACTTTACATCCTTAATTTTCAACTCCTGGCTCTCGCTTCCTATAATTCCTCTAATTCAAAGGAACTTCTTTTTATTTCGAAACAAATATAATGGGACTGTAAGAAAAGAGCAGAAATTTAAATAAATTTGACTAGCAAACAATAAGAATGACTGAAAAATTTATTATTATTTATTTATTTATTATTTGATTTCTACCCATATCTAAGAAAAAAATTTCGCGTTTATGACATTCATTGAAACTTAAGAGATTAATTTGAAATATTAACTTGAAAAATCTGACAAATTAAAGTTAAAATATGTGACTCATCTACACACTAAGTTATTTTTCTTTACGAATTTGTATGTCATTATTACTTCGTACAAGTTGTTATAATTCACAATAAGGCAGGTGAGTGCTTTGATTCCCAATTTTTTTCTTGTGAATACCTTAATTGCAACAATTGTAATATTATTCATAACTAGTAATATTCGAAATGGAACAAGTTTTATTTTACCTGTTTAATTCTGTTACTCTTAACATATTTAGTTAATGCTATTAAAACTTCAGTTGTAGATGATTACTGTACAATGCGAACGCTTGGCACCTGGCTTTAAATCCGAAGATATACCAGCTGGTCGTAGCGGACACCGAATTGTATGCATTGATGATGAGATATACGTTATTGGGGGATATGTTCAACTGCCTACTAGGTTGGAAGTTTTCGGGGAGATTTGGGCCTACAATATTCTTGCTCAGCGTTGGCGTCGTCTGAATCTTAAAAACTCACCTTTTCATCTAGCCCTTTCTGCATGTGCTCTAGCTATTGATAAGCGTATTTTCATACATGGGGGCACTGGTATCCCTTTTGCGCAGGATATTAACAATACTATCATTGAAATTGATGTCGTGAGTGGAGAATGCAAAGACCATCCTTGTCTCCCAAAGGACGGTAAAGAAATTAATGTTCCAGAGGCCACTTATGGACATTCCTTGACCTACATACGTCTTTCGGATCATGAATCTCAAATTGATGGAGGAATGTTAATTAAAGTTGGAGGTGCCCGTGGAGCACCTTATTCAAACATTATCAGTGCCTTTTATTTCGCAACGCACTCTTGGGAAAGGCTTTTTGGTGGTTCCAATGGCGAATCTTTTGAAACTTTTGCTCCTAGGTAAACTGTGCTATCGTGTTTCTTTTTTTATAATGTTTTTTTGATTTTCAATCTACTAACGTGCTTTATTAGAGATATATACTAGGTATGACTGATACTAATATTGAGGATGCCATTTTGTCGGTTGTACATTTTTACCAATGTTTGAACCGGACATTAACTCTGTTTAATACTGTAGAGTAGTTATCTTTGTAATGTTCCATGATTGTTGATTAACAAAGTACTCAATGGTGTTATTTATTTCTATGTGCCTCTGTATTCAAAGCATATGTTTAATGCTTAATTATGACGTTTTTCTTCCCAAACTTGGCATGAATTAAAAGTGATTTTGTCTCTTTATTGGCCTCTTAATCCCCTCTTTCATTTGTTAATTACCTTAATCGCCATTGTTGCCTATGTGAAATTTGCCATTTCTTTTGTTAAAAATAGGTATTTTTGCTTTTTGTTTTTACTTTGTGTTGATTTTATTATGCTTACGGTCAGTTGTTGAAATTGTTTACTTCTTCAATAGAAGAGTGCTAGTCGATGTTTTTTATTTCTGACATTTTTCTTAACTATTTAGGTATAGACATGATGCTGTCTTTTGGAGGGATGAGCTGTACATTATTGGTGGAACCAACTTTAATGGTAGTCTGCCATTTTGGCCTGTAGGTCAATCGTCATAATTTCTATCTCCAATTTATCTATCTTCATTCAAGCGCTTTTATTTCTGCTTTGAAGATGCCAGTTTTCAATATCAAACAGCGCACTTTCAGATACATCAATTTTTCTGGTCAATGCCCTCCCCCCATCAGATACCCTTGCTCCGTTCACTTTGATAATCGTGCGTTTTTTATTTTACATACATAATAGGTTTATGTGTCCTTAAGGTATTATTCGTATTTATATATTTAGTTAAATGTGTTATTTTCTCTTGTAAAGTGTTTCAGTGTTAATGATCTGTTAGGATGTCTAGTTTCTGTTGCTGGTGCATCTGTTCCAACGCTACACTCGACTTTGTTTCAAAGATAAAAGTCAATATACGGTTAACCGAGGCGTTATAATTTGGGCAATGTCTTTTTATTGTCATATGATTTGTCATTATGGTGATGGGTTGTGGAGCTCAAAACATGGCCGGATTGATAATAGTTTTGGAAATGAATAAGTGTTAACCTATCAAGAGCTGCTCTCGTCCTCGTTTTGATGTGGATGATGGACGACTTAGTGACAACGTAGGGAGATTGATTATCGTGAGAGTGAGCATGAGCACTGCGGCCACGATCTTCTTTTTTTAATATTTTACCGTAGTATGCTCATTATCGTCCATTTGCATCGTCAATTTGTAAGATCGATAATTGTTCCAATTGTGGCAAAAACAAACCCTCGAATATTAGATTACGTGAATTTATATTTAATTTTGCTATCTTGTGCAGGTATTATTGTTGTGTGTTATATAATTAAATTGAATTGACAGAAATGGGTCTGGCTGTACACATGGCTAAAAAAGTATTCCCAGTACCATCCGCGTTATGCAATGAGGAAGTTTATTTATTTTTTACTCTTCACGTAAAGCCAGTTCTAAGGAAGTCGAGGGTTGAAATTAATGTAGAGGAATGTATCACAAATTGAATCAATAGAAATTACCACAATCTAATTAACGAATTTAGAAATGGAATGCCATTCGACGTCCAAATTAAATCACCATATGTGCCGCTAAGTTCACTGAGGTAAGCAGCGTCAGTTCAACTCTGAGGATGGTTTACAATTTACTTCTTTTCCATGGTTGTTTAAATCTCTTACTAGTCATAGATTGGCAAAGGTGACAATATCAGCTAAAGAATTTTCCTGCTTTTTCCTTTAGCTTAATTAGTGGTCTCTTTCGTCCAGCTAAACGCATCCATCCTTCATATCTCATTACTAAACCCATCCTGTGTTTATCTTTCTTTTTTACATTTCATTTTGTCTCACCTGTCTAGGTCAGTGCTAACTATTTTACAGCTTAGCTAACTTGTTTTCAGTCATCTATACAACCGGAGGCGTTGCAGGACCTCATGACATCCTAAATGCAAATATTTACGCTTTCGATTTGGAGAAGTTGACTTTCCAAATTGTTGGAAGTCAAGAGCTTCCTACCTTCTTCCATGATTTGGCGGCTGTTCCCTGGGTGAGTTTTGCTCCCCTATACGTCCCAATATGCTTAATGTTTGGCGGTTTTAAATGTTTATTATTTCCTATAGCGTAATGAATTCTACTCATTCGGTGGTGTTCGTGATGAAACGCGAGTTAATCATCTCCATCGTTTCCAGGTAGGAGGCGTTACACCCCCCTCCTTAAAGGAACTTTGTTGGCTTCGTTTGACAGATCTCCTTCGTTCCTTCTACCCCCCTGAGTTGAATTCTAGTAATCTTTGGAATTTCATTCGTACTGCTGCTGCACCTCTTCTTGGTCTCTCGAATGCCTCCCCCTCTTCATCTTATGAGCGATCTGAAATAGGTGACGCAACATCTAACATGGCTGTGACTTCTGTTCAGGGTGTTTTGGCTTTCACCAAATCGATTCTTTCGTACTTGCTTGGAAAGAGTAAATGTAGGTTCACTATGATCTTTGAATTGGAATTTTAACTGTTGTTCTAAGGTAGTTCGTCCAAACTTTCCATTTATTATCCATAAGTCGAAATGATTGTTCTTTTTGAAATACTGGTTTTTATACTGTTATATAGTGTCCCTAATTAATTCAAGCTTATTTCATTTATATTTGTGATTTTCAACCTTCGGTATTTGATCAAATAGGCTTTTTAGTTCAGTTTCAGTTTTCAATCCCACCATACTTAGGTAGCGACCTAGGAGCGATGCAAGGCTGAAAAGAACTGACTCTGAGGTATTAAAATGTTTCATCCATTCAAGGTCAATTTCAGGTCAAGTTGTCTTGATTTTCTCCGGATTATTTGACGAAAATCCCTCCCCCCCCCCAATCTTTGAAAGTGCTTTAAATATCCTATTGTCTCTACAAATCATGCCGAAGTCTGAATGCTGGTGACGCTTGCCTTTTGAGTAACCGTTTCGAACTCTAATTTTTTCTTTGTTGATTCCTTGGAATGCCTGGAGAATAGGATTTAATTGTGCCAGAGGGTCTTGCTAATGAATCTACGAAATTGGGTATCAAGGGTGGCTCAGCAGAACACAATTATGTGATTCTAACTGGAAGAATTTCTAGTGAAAATGGAAAGATGCCCGGGGGGGGGGGGGTCGTGGGGGTGAGGGATCGGAACATTCAATACGAAAGTAACTTGTGTGCATTGCCATGGAATCATTATCTTCACTACTCAGTTGTGTTTTATATTGTTTATTGACTCCACAATTCAAAATTAATCTAAGTATATCATCCTGAAGGACCGCAGTTTACGGAGCTCTGCTAGCTTACTACCTTTACTTTTCTCCTTTCTGGACTAACTTAAGGCTATAAACTGGTGAATTAAATGCAAGGAAGCGATTAAGCCGACTCTTATTGATCGAGTAACAGCGGTCAATAGGCACTGATCATCGATGGCAGACGTTAACTGCACAATGCATTGGACGCATTGCGAACTTTGAATTTTGGAATGTGAAGCGCTCATTTAATACATATAATGCAACTATAGTAAAAAGTCAAATGAAGAATAACTCTTGACAGCTTTGGATTTGCTCCCTTATTTTCTTTCGATCCCCGCCTCTGTGTATGTTTATTATTAAGCCTGCTCTTTATCTTTTTTAAGCAGCTTCACATAATTAAAATATTGTGAGCAATGACAATCGCAATCCCAGTATTGCTGTGTATTACATTAATCAACGCACAGGTTAAAAGCCCGTCTGGAGTAAAAAAAATTGCGTAGGTGGAGCCTTGACAAATTGCCTTTCCTCTTTTAGCCTGAGGTATATCGGGACCGGTTGTAAAGTGGTTCTGAGGTAGTGATCTATCAACCTCGGTTTGTTGCCTAATACCGAAAAAAGTGTCTATCATGTGCCACGACATGTAACAGCAACAGTTCTATAATGAGACCTTTCATCAACTAAGGCAAAAGCATTATCTCCAATGGCATTCTTTCACTCCAAATGTAGGATTGAGTTTTTAAATAGTTTCCATGCGTGTTCGCTTCGGGTTGCAAATGTTGCTATTATTGTCATGTTGATTGACAGTTGGGGCTCTTTTATAAATCCTATCCCTGTTATTCCTAGTTTTCTTAGAGTGTCTCTGAGTTTGCACCTTTTTAGCCATCGTTTCTATTGTTGATTCAATAACAGGTACTTTGTCATACCCGCTATATAGAGCATTTGTAAGCAGCTTGAAATTTTCGAATTCTATTCAATTCTCATCATTTTCTTTATTATCTCTTGCTTTAGATGTGGAGAAAACAGCTAAACTCTCGCCAATGCAGGTGGCGTCATCTCAAGCAGATGTCGCCTTCGATTGCATGATGTCTGCGACCAAAGCCATCATCAACTCTATTGAGGGTTTGTGAGATCCCCCCCCCCCCCCTCCAATGATTTACTTTAAATCGCATTCGTACTAGAGAAACAGTTTGTGGTTAATCTGCTTGTATCCTAAATGGAAGAGCATTTGCTAAGGGTTACTATTCTAAGTAGTTTCAATGCGACGTATAACTAATGGCTGTCTTGGTTGTAGCTAGTACTACATGGGACTTATCGTTGTAGGTGACCGAAAATTATGAGTCTACCTCCTTGACTCTTTTTGCTTTTACGTGCGCGTTTGGGAGTGCATACAAATAAACAAATCACCATTGGTGTGCTCACATTCCTTTCTCATTTTCATAGATTGTGAGACTAATTAATGATAGCAGTTTAACCAAACCCAGTTGCGTCTCATTGCACAAGTTTCTTATGCATATGTGACCGTACTCACACTGCCCCATTTTTGACGCTCATGTTTGGCAAATGCGCTTGCATTCTTTTCTTTAAATCAATACTTTGATAATCATATCTTTTGTGTTAATTTCTTCTTATTGCTCAAGCAATGTAGCAAATATTCTAATTATTGTTTGCTTAAGATGTACAACAAATATTTCATTATTTCTCAAAGTGTTTAGTTAGATTATTTTTTAGTTGAATAAATGTATTAATGCAATCGCCATACGGTAATTGCTTACAAAATTGCCGTTCTGAAAGCCTTTAATTTTCCTGATTTGGTGTAATGCGTTATTAGGAGTGTTCCAATGCGATACAAATTGTCAGCACCTCACTCTCTGAAAATATCATTGTTGGTCGCATTATTAGTAGTATCTGAGTCTTTCAAATTATCTCGAATATTAAAGGAATTTTAAGAACGTCATTCTTGATCACCAATGTGTCATTCTCTTCTTGGAGTCCAGACACCAATTTCTACAGGTTTCACTTTCTGAAGTGGAAATCTCTTATTTTTTGGCTTTTATCGATCAATTGCTATTCTTAGAATTTTAAATAAGTAGATCTTGCTGTCTAAAATCCTCTAATGTAAGATCCACGTTTATATATTTTTTTCAACAATGCAATGCACATGTCGTGCAATCTGGTAGATTTAGCTTTTCTTTTCCATTTTAGTTGAGCGAAAAGTAGATACTGTGGAATGCGTCACGATTTTCCTAGTGGTACTTTTTTACTGTAACGGCGCGCCGCTGAAGTGCCTTGAGCGTTTGCCCTACGGAGTGGCCTCCTTAAAGGTTGTAAGTCGGTACATGGAGAAGGTTTTCACCGATGCTTCCTCTGAAGATGAAGATTCGGATGAAATCTCAGCACGGCCTCACAAAAGGATGCTTTTCGCTCCTGCCTAACTTCGCCTACATCATTTCTTGCTTCTCATTGCCTTTTCTGTATATACATAAGTAGATATGATTATTATCTTTTACGAATAGAATGGTACATTTCTTATCGTTGGTAGGCGAATGAATGCCTTTTCATTCATTCCCATCTGATATTGACGATCACGGAGACTAATGCGTCTCCGACACCGTTCCTGCCATATCACTACTCTGAACTAATGCTAGATTGAACAATAATTCCCCTATTTTTATCCAGCGGTTCAAAAGGTTTTCATGCAGCCTGAGTGGCCTAAACATAATAAGAATAAGCTCAGGAGAAAAAGAACGCCTTTTAAACATTATGATAATACGTAATATTTGAATCGCATCTCAGCTACGGTACTATATAACATTATGGGAGGTGAGAATCAATTGAATTCAGAGAGCCTTCATCATCACCATCTAGAATATCAGGAAGTCCAGGAATAGTACCCATTGAATTCAATGGACCCGCCTAACCATCATCATCTAGAAAAGGAAGTCCAGGAATAGTGCCCATTGAATCCGATTGACCCTCCTGATCATCATCATCTAGAATATCAGGAAGCCCTGGAACAAAACCCCTTGGCCCTTCATCCTCTACCACCAATCCTTCCCGCTGAATATTTTGAGACTCCTCTCCTTCATTGATATGTTGGAGAGCCTCTCTCTTGATTCCCCAAAAGAGACGCGGTTGAAGATTATCCCGCGTAGCTGTAAATCGCCATCCCAGTGGAACGCCACATGTGGCACATTCAGCAATTGTCCAAGCGTACCTGTAGGAGAAAGGAATGCATGGTATTGTAAGCTAAAATGTTGAACTAAAAGCATGACACTAATCAAGAGCATAGGAGTAACAATCTTCCATTAGGATATCTGCAAAATAATACGAAGTAGGCTAAAAACTATCCTTATTAAAGATAGACGGCCACCAATGGTATTGAAATTTCGCAGAGACAAATATCGATGACAAGAATTGGTGAAGATTTCACTGCTGAGCAGCTAGGAAAAATCCTTCCACTTCGCTTAGCCTAAAATCTCTATTGAGTCATCGAATTTCCAAGAGTACTAGCATGAAAGTCTGAATAAATTCAGTGCTGAGGCAATTCGATTAGGACGTTGAGGAAGTTTTTAGCCAAAAAAGGCAATAGTGTCAATTCCTGTCTCCTCTGAAAATGATGAAGCTGCAATTCCTAAGCGTATGCAAGTGTTTGCAGAAAAGATAACAACGCTTTTGCAATATTTGCGAGACCACTGTTCCACAGTCGAAATAATTAAAAGCAACCAGCTGTGCCAAATTTTCGATTATTTAAGTCTTATAAAAGACTAAGATAGTTGAAACATCAGATATTAGGATGCCATCCGTATGGTAACATGGGATTTGATGTGGGTCCCTTCCTCTAGAGGAGAAGTAATTAACACGAATTATTTATGCATACATTTCTTTAGACTCACCCAGGAAACCAGGAGTACTCAGAAGTTGGTGATCCGACAAGTACGATAGACCTCTGGTAGACAGTGCTCAGTGTAAGCATATCAAAGATGATACCGTGGGGATTCACGTAAGCCTGGACTGAGCCCTCGTCGGTAAGGCAAATCACGTTAGTTTGGGAAGAGATTGCTGTTCTACACTGGGAGCAAGCAAGTCCAGAGCACTGGAATTAAGAGATATAAAATAAAGAAGGCTACTTTTATTTTATAAGTAGAATGAAAGATTATAACCAACCAACCGTTTCGATGAAGTTTAAACAGGCTCGTAAGCGGACGACAACAGGGTCGAGTTTTAGGAAATCAGCTTTTTGGGTGAAAGTGAGAGGGAGGTTCTGAATGAGCCAATAGGAGAATGGGACAGCCAGGGAAGGATTCCATTTCTCCATTTGCCAAGTATTCGTCCATCGTGAGAGCTTTGCTCGAATTTGACCAATTATATAAGACTAAATGAAAAACCATAAAAACAATAAACTACGATATTTTCATTTACAAAAGAATGTGCGATAATTCGAGTGAGCTTTTAAAGACAGCTTGGTGATGCCAATGGATTCAATTTCATGAGAACCAAAAAATGATAATCAGAACACTTTTAAGGCCGAAAGCAACTTCTGTGAAAACGATCGAAAAACACAGTTGAGAGTGTACTTTCTTCACTATGATCTATCCACTAGGGTAATTAATTTGGATTGATATCCCAAGGACCAAATTAAATAGAAAAAATGAACAATATCATAAATTCTATTGGCCTATTAAATCATCTCTTGTTACCTCTTTCCCTCTCCTAAATTTCTGCTAAATTTCCTCTCAAGGCACACACTTAATCGGCTTAGTTCCCCTGATAGTTTTCGCCACTTCTAATGACAATGTAAATTAATCCAATGTCATTCAAATTTCGATAATCCAAAACTGATTATCAAAATCGATAGCAAATCTGAAGCAAACAAGGGCACTAAATTAGACTACTCATAAGACTGACATAAACGGATGATAATTAACTAACAGAAAGTAATAATAGTAAGAGTTTTGTAATAATCGAAGAGAAAAAAAGCATGTTTCAACAAATCTCAAGCCAAAAAATGAAAAGGAAAAGACAAGGAAATAAACGAGTGGAAATCGGACTGCAAAACCTTCATTGTTTCCATTTAAGCTCATAAGTGATTTCCAAGCACAAATACTAATATTGATAAATAAACAAGGGCAGTAACTAACTAAATCGTGTTGATGAAATATCCACGGTGGTATATTGGATACACTACAAGCGAGGGTAGCCATAACATCTCGACGACAAGGAAGGTGAGGGAGTTGACGTTGATTGAAGGTTTCACCGCCACCATCACCGCCAAAACCACTACTACCACTAGAAGTGATTCTAGAGAAAAGAACTGCGAATGGATCACCGGGTCGAGGAAAGGGAAGAGAACGGGACTGGTCACTGTAGAAAGAAATACGGTTAAAATACAGCCAGTAGATAAAAGGAAGGTAATCAAATTAAAACATTAATAACGAACACGAGAAACGAATTAAATACCTGGGTGGTTGATCGTTGGATGAAGGAGGTAGAGGAACAAATTCAGAATCCCGAGTAAAACGACACAAAGAATGCGGGATAGAGAGTATGCTGACGGGGCAGTGCATTTCATCTCCCAGGTTATCAGGAAGAACCAGACCCGTGCAATAGCGATAATGACTAAAGGGAATGTAAAAATGTGCAAGCCTACTCTTGGGAACTCATGTAAACATCCAAGATGCGAAGGCGCTGTCGTCCCAATAAAATTGGGTGATAATTAGGGCCTTCAACACGAATAGACACAAGGTGAGCAATGGTAGCAATTTGATTGACGAAATCTGTTGAACTACCTGGTGAAGTATAAGTATTAAAGTGAACACTGAATAGTTAAAAACGGAGTAGACATAGGTGAAATATGAACATACCTTCCAGGTAAAACGGCAACAGGATTACGGTAGAAGTCAATAACTTGCTGTTCTAATAAGTTTACAGTCTTTAGTGGAAGGGTATAACCAGGGATCAGGACAATTCCATGTCTATAAATCGCTCGAAGTGTAACCTTTGTTCCAGGTTCCTGGTAATAGCCTGAGTCAATCGACATCGAGTTTTCACCAAGGTACTAATACTGAGCGAGTGTTTAAATTGTCTTACTGTGTGAAGTCCAGGGAGGGATCTATCAAAATTAATGTCACTTTCGGAAATATGTGAACCGGTGTCCATAAGAATATCCAGATTAACAGAATCTGAAGAACTTTCAATGAAATCACTAAGTCTCCAAAATTCATTAACACTATCAGCGTCACTGCTACCACTGTCGCTATCTAGAAAAATCAATCTTACATAATTCGGCATACTAGTTGACATCAAGAATCAGCTGAAAGACCACCACTGTTTAAAAATAATATCCTTTGGTGAGTGAATTAAAATATAACAGCATACATGTGTTAAGATGAAAAAAACTTCAAAAGTTTTTTTAGAAAGCCATGGACTGTTAATTTTAGAAAATCATAATTCTGAGGTTGTATTAAAAAATCTTACGAACAATAATAAATTTAATTTTTAAAGTATCGCTGTCATAGCTATATACTTCTGGTTTATATAATAAAGCTTACTTTTTATTTGATATAACTCGTTAAGTTATTTATTATACTGAAAGACTTTTACATTTGGAAAATAATTTAACTTATTATCGGTTTAGCATTATTTATTAATTTTAAGTTTGCAGCATTATTTTTAAGTACTGGAATGTTTTCATAAAAAATTTCTTTGAGGAAATGTCGGAGTAAGCGAATAAAACTTATCAATTTCAAATTGATAGATATTTAGTGATCATCATTCGTATTTACAATGAACAACCGTTTCATCAATGATGTATCATTTTCGATAGTGATTAAAAGGAATATAGAAAGAGAATGTACTATTCAGTCATTTCATTTTAATATTTGAATATTCTTCATTCAATCGAGGTTTAAGCAAAATATATCAGCTTATTTGAGGTCGTTCCAGCAACCAATGACAATTCAGTGGTCATACTTTCACTAGTTTCTGCATTTTTTCAATCTGTAACTATGGTCGAGACAATTTCATATTCTTCTAACGAACCAGAAACTTCAATAGTATATAACGCGTTTCAGCACCTTGATGTATTCTATGATTTACTTAGCGAGGCATGTGCTTCAATAGGGGACATTCGTAAAGAAGAAGCCCTATTAACCAGATTAACAAGTTCTAATTTCTAATTTTTTTATATACATATTTTAGTAATCTTCGGATGGTATCAAGAACAGCCTCATCTGTTAGATCCTTACCTTCCCGAAATGCTATCCAGGTGCATCTCCATTATCAATGAGAATATAGAAAATCCGCAGATATATCACTTCATATTTAAAATCATCCACTTAATGACAAAAACTCGCGGTTATAAAAGTCTTGTTCGTCTAATGCCGCATACAGTGGATGACTTGGAACTTGTATTTGATCTGTTAAAGTCCCAAGATGAAGGTGATCGTCATGTAAGTGTGAATTCAATTTTGTGGTAATATGTTTTCCAGAACTGGCAAACGCGGTATGTTCTGCTTCTCTGGCTATCAATTGTTGTAATGGTTCCATTTGCTCTTGAGTGTCTTGAGAAGTCTGGAAAACCCCCACTTATAAATCGAATAATTTGTGAGGCGAAGAAATATGTGGTTCGAGAAGATATTACCCAAATCGCGGCTGCTCATCTGCTGGCTAAATTTATCTCCCGTCCGGATGTTTATCCATCAAAACTTGAGGATATCTTCATGTGGTCTGAGGATGTGCTTCAGAACGCTCAATGTTAGTAATCTGATGTTTGAGTTTATTTGTATTTTTTATTTTAAAAAATTAATAATTATCACTTGTCACTTAAATAGCATTTCCTCATTTTGATTTCTAGTTTATTTGATGAGGAACATCTAGTTATCTTGTCTTTTATTCCTTAGTTGTTCTACATCGTGGTGGAGAAAGTGCTCACTGGCTGAAAAGCTCTGTAAGGTGGAAAGAAGTGCTGACATGTGTTGTATTTTTAAATGGAAACTATTGTTAAGTATATAAAAGTTGGTTTCCGTTGTATTACATATTTAAGTTAAAAGGGAACATTCCAGAAGTGGAAGCAACTCAAGCACGTCAGCATTTTATTCAACAGTAACCATTAAGTTGAGGGTGGATTAACGCATACAGACTTCAGTGCATCTGCTTGGAAGCACAATTTAAAAATGCTCTCCATTCACTCTGCGAAATGTACTTTTGTTGAATTTAGTAAAAGTACGATTTCTGAAGTCAGTCGAATCCTCAACCACTTTATTAAGACTCAAATTTTATTGTTGGATAATCATAACCTAAGTTTTTTGGTGCTCTTTTATCACATACAGTGATTCATATTTAGCATCCCTCTATTTTCTCTCCCATTCTGGAACCTTTTCAGTGCATAATGTCACTACCTTCTCCTCTTATAAAGCCCTATATTTTTTCCACTTTACATGGGACTAAGGTTTTTAGAAGTTGGTGTCGTGATTGCCCATAATGAGCAATTGCATTATACTCTAGTCGTCACTTTCATTATTTCTTTCTAGATGGCTTTCACAGGGATGAAATGTGTGTGGCCGGTTGCCTTCTCTCTCTAGCCAATATCTGTAAATTCGTTCCACGAACTGTTCTCTCTCCGCACTCTCGTCGGCTTTTGGATATTGTTTTGGAGAAAATGCCTGAGAGTGTCTCGCAGAATGCTCTGTTGGCACGTCTTCGAACAAAAGTTATTCAACGAATTGGACTCCTCTTTTGTCCACGTAGAGCTGCAGCTGCTTCATGGAGATATCAACGGGGTTATCGATCTCTTGAAGACAATCTTACCTGCATGATGAAGAATAAGGAGGTAGTTGATAAAGGTGATGTAAATGTTTCAAACGCAGCGACTGCCTCCTATTTGACTGCTGAAATTGAGGGACGACAAGATTTGGAAGAAGGAGGGGAGGTAGAGGAAGATGATTGTTTGGAAGCATCCGAAGAGGTAGCAGTTGTTATCGATCATTTAATCGATGCACTGAGAAATAAATTTACTTGTGTGAGGTGGTCTGCTGCTAAAGGGTATGTCTTCATAACCACCAATGCCTTTGCTTATCCATATAACTTTTATGCCTGAGACGAGGGAAACATTTGATTGAAGATGGCAGCTTAATAGTTCAACAAGTTAATATATGCCTAATATAGTCAAGGTATCAAAGTTCCACTTTATTTGAATCATGGAACTGCTTAGTTTTTCTCATAGGGGATGTAGCTCACTGTGTAACTACTAGGTTTTTTCTTCAGTACTCATATTATATTTTGTTTCGTTTTTAAACGAATAAATATTTAAGTATCTACGTTATTAACACCAATTTTGAAATTAATCAATAATGCTCGAAATATGGTCTTGATAATGAAATAGAAATGTGTAGGAATTATTTAAATACCCCTCCTCGTTATCTAAAAGTTATTGCATTTTCTACACAAAATGGTGGTAAATGTTTCTAAATGCTCATTTCAAAAGGACCGAGTCCTCTTTGCTTGAGTTATTTACCTTCTGTCTCCTTAAAATTTGCCATGGAGTGTTATCACTCCTATCTCTTCACTCCTGACTTTGTAGAGTAGGTAAACTCATTTATTGACTTCATTTGAATGTCTCTTTTTGATTTTAGATCGCCTCCATGTAGTGATTTTTTATTTTAAACGGTTGGCACCTTTTAAACAGTTACGAAGTTAGACCTGTATCGGGGTAAATTGCCTCTTGCAGCGTTTTGAATGAGATTAAAACTGTCATACAAGTTACCTTCAAATAATGTCAAATGCTGACATTCCCCTGAATTGTTGTGTACGGTCTGTAATTTTTCACCGGTAAACTTCTATCGGCTTTTTTACGCACTAACATTAGTTCACTTGTCACCATTGTTCTGGCAATTTATCTTAATGCGTTGATGCACAAAGGAAGGCGACATTTTTGCTCATGATGATCACGACGCGAATGGTATTGATATAACTATAACTATTTATTAGTGGATATCTGAAATAATCTGAAATAAAGTAGGTAACTCGTGATCGATGGTCGTCAGTCTGGCACCAACCAATATCTACGCTTGCCATGTTGGACTCATAAATCTACACTTCGCCAGTTACAAATTAGGAGAACTGTCGTGTTTGATAGATTGCCTTTAAATCAACTCCCTTTTTGATTAGCCCAACACAAATTCATAATTTATCTTTACCAAATACTCAGAACATGCATAGATGCTGTCTTTTATCATTTTAGCGTTGGTCGAATTTGCTCCCGTTTAACCGCTCCATACGTAGAGGATGTTTTGACTGCCATCCTTGATCTCTGCACTCGTCTTGAAACTTACGCTGCATGGCATGGGGCATGTTTTGCTCTTGCCGAATTGGGTCGTCGTTGTCTCCTCCTGCCCGAAAAGCTCCCCCAAGTCATTCCCGTGGTTCTTACAGCTCTCTTCTACGATGAGAAGTCAGGAGAATGTAACTTTGGATCAAATGTTCGTGATGCTGCCTGTTATTGTTGTTGGGCATTTGCAAGAGCCTATAAGGCCTCTGACTTCGCCTGTCATGTACAGGAAGTCTCACAGAAGCTCATTCTCTCGTCTCTCTTTGATCGAGAATTAAATGTTAGAAGGGCGGCAGCGGCTGCATTTCAGGAGAATGTCGGACGTCAGGTATGTTTTGCTCACCTGTTTTGTCACATTTCTAATGATGTCACCAGTGGTGTAAACTAGGCTACCCAGTGTGACCATAGTTACTAAGATCAAGAAGTAAAAATAGAAGGATCTGTAGCTCGAAACCTTCATTTGTTTATTATGAAATTAAATTTAATTATGTTCATTTGATACGTAGAAATTCTTGCTCATCCAAAAATGCATCAAGGATGAAATTGCATTTCAGGCATAGGAGTGGAATCAAATAATTGGCCAAACCTCGGTCGATTAATGTTGCTTGTGGTCCTCAATTAAGTGTATTTTGATATTTTTCTTTGAATATTCCTGTAACTGTGCTTCTGTCTTCTTTCTGGTTCCTAGTAGCCTTGTATCTAATTGACCAATATGCCATAGTGGCAGTTATAAAAGCGTACAATAACCAAATCTCAAAGCATTATCTACTGGGCTACTTTGCCCACTTCTTAAACTTCTTTTTAACTGATGCGAAAATGTGGTCTTATTTGCTTCTTTATTTTTCATCTAGGGCCAGTTTCCCAATGGCATCGAAATTATTACAACTGTAGACTACTTCGCTGTAGGAAATATCTCTAACTGTTATCTTAATCTCAGGTATGTGTGTTTTAAACATTAATTATTAACTCATTTCAAATTGTAGTCGATTTGTGGCGGGTTTCAATGAATATGCTTCTTCCATTGTGGAGCATTTGGCATTCTCGCGACTTGGTCATTGGGATGAGAATATTCGGGATATGGCAGCTCGAGCTTTGAACATCCTTGCATCGCTTACACCTGAACAAATGAAGACGTCAAGTAAGGTTGGCAATCCTAATGTTCATCTCGTTTTTAGTTCTACCTCAGTTGGTTGAAAATGTTGGTGGAAATGATCTCTATATGCGACAGGGCAGTGTCTTGGGCATATCTGAGTTGATTCAAGCTCTTTCTGAGTAAGTTGTGTCACGTGCTTATTCATTACCGTCATTTTATTACCTCTATTAATTTTATTTCCAACTTATCTCTCTTTTAGCTTAAACTCGCTTCCTGAAACGATAGTGAAAGATGTGATCGAAATTGTTCCAAAGGTTTGCTTTGATTGAATCCCATCTTAAATTGAATGGGAAATTATTTATTCATCTTATTCAGTCTTTGCCTCAAATATGGGACGAATTGTTAATGTGGTTTACTATAGTCATAATATAATCTTTCATAAAACTGCTTACTTCAAAAGCACTGTTGCATGTCACTTTCCTCCAGACTTGCTTTCTCATTCCGTTCATCGCAATATGAATACTTGAAACAACTAAAATGGTTTTGCTAAACGCTTTTTTGCGCTAGAAGAAAGCGTTATGAACCTTTACGCTGTTCGACGGCTTAGAAGTCTGTAGCTCTGTTATGTCTATGTTGTTAGAGGACAGAGTGTCCTATCTGGAGTCACCACCCATGCTTCTTCAATTTGGTATGATTCTCCCCCCCCCCCTCCCCTCCCCTCCCCTCCCTCCCCTCCCCTCTTACTCTAGAAAAGTTTAAACTAAAACATGCGACTGCGAATATCCAGGCAAAATGGAACCCACCACCTTGTAAGACAATATCTCGCTTTGCTGCCTCCACGCAGTCATCTTTTAAGTTGGTTTTCAGCTTAACACTCCCGACTCTTCTATCCACGAAGCAAAATTACACAGCAATTGTTAGTTTCAAGGTCAATATCTCCTAATTTCAATTATCACTTCTTCCGTGACTAAATCTCATGTAGTTAGCTAAACAAAGCTCTTTGATTTGACCTTTTAATGGTATTAATTAATTAACATTAGAATATCTATTCTCATGTACTGTGTTGATGAGATGTAATAGTTATACGAAGAAAAGATTTCCGTTTCCTACATACTTTAATGGAATCTTATAGGTGGTTAGACGCCTTTAGACATTTCACGTAGATCTTATCGAATCATTTAACTTCCAAAAGCTACAAAGGTAATGACTAATAGGAGGAAAAAAATGACAAATTTAATGTTTTCCATTTTATTTTAGTTGGAGGAACGAAAGTTCTTCAATGGTGTTACTGGAGAGTTAATGCGCCGAGCGTGTTCTCGTCTCATTGAAAAGGTCTCCATCTCCAAACTACCCCTTCACGAGCATTCTATCATTGGTAAGCTGTAATCTTCTTTTGTTTCTTATCGTATTATAACCCACACCAAGGTAAAAAAATGCGATCCTTCATTGCGGAAATTCAACTATAATCAGGTAACGAGAAGTTCAATAGATCATAAAGAGGAGAAGGTCGAAAATATGTTATGGGTAAAGTTGCGGTATCAAGGGCTCACGTTTCATGTGAATCTTGGTTTCGGGTTGTACCATAATTTATTATTTGGCAATGCGTGTTCCATGACGCGTTGCATGGAATGCTGAGCAAACTCTTAGCCCTAACCTTCAGTGCTATTGATCGGATGTTTTAATATGATGGTCGGTCTTGCCACTTCAATTGATTTTTCCTCAAAAAAAATGAAAAAATATAGAATGTTCTAGCATGATCATAGCATATCAGAAGCTGTTGATTCCTTAGTTAACAGCACTCAATATAAGCATTGTTCCTTTATTTTTATTCGTTCATTTTAGAAAAGTGGAGACACTTTCTCGACGACTGTTTGAATCACAAGGAGATCAGTGTTCGAGTAAGTTGGGGCTTATTACTTTCTTCGCATTCATCTATCTTTTGCTTATTTGACTAATTGTTTTTTTTGTTTTTTTATAGGATACAGCCATTCCTGCCTATGCTGCACTTATATCTTCCTATGTCTTTGCTAAAGACGGAAGTCTGATGGAGAATTATAGAAGTTCGTTAGAAGTGAATTTTTTTCCTATAACATAATTCCATTTTAATTAGCCTTAATACTATTATGATTTCTTTATTTCACTTTGAATCGACTTTTTATCGATTTAGCTTAGATTTTTTTGAAAACAATATAACCGCTCTTAAGGTATTTAACAAGAGTTAAGACTTACTAAGTGACTGGATGTAGAAAGTTCCTGTTTACCAAAAGTAAACATTCGGGAGCCCATTTAGTAATTTGGATTTCAACTTGAGTGAATTCGTTAAATTCTGCTTTGCTAAAATTATGTTTTTTACTCTCTTTGTCATTGAAGGTTAGTATCTATTAGCTACAAACCACTGTATGACAACTAACAGTTCGGTGGCTTCAAAGGTGGGAGTGGCGTTGTCACTCTACCATTCGATTGATATATGCCTTCTTCTACAATTAAACGAATGTGAGTTGATTTGTAAATACGAAGACAAATGGAACCTCTTCTAATGAAAATCGGCATATACAACTACTTGTGTAGCTAAGATTCAGCGCATTTAGGCCCATACGGTCCTCCTTCAAAATAAGCTCCATTGATACTAGACTCATAACAGAAGGCGCTATTGCTGTTTGAAACATGTTCAATACGAGTCTATGGCCTTCGTCTGATATCACCAAAACTCACCAAGTCGCCGTCAGTCTGCTGTGAGACACTCGTGAGTGCAACTGGGTACATTTTTCAGGAAATAATTCTGGAGTTAAAGGCTTAACTGAACGGAACGCCTTCAGGAGTAAAAATCTGATTTTCATCCCTCAGTAATTACCGCGAAGAGCAATTCATCCACTATCAAAATTACATCTTCGATACAACTTTTCAATTTATTTGGCTTTAGCGAATTCTGTCATTCTCGAAATTAAAACCTTTGCCGTAATTCTATAATGCAAAATGTCCTAGTAAATAAGTGATATTGACGTGTTGAATATTTGGAACAATATTGTGGTTATATTTCCTCAGATTCAGTATATTGTGAAGAAGTCAAACATTACTTTGGCTAGAAACTGCTAACTCTTGTGTAATTTGGAGCAAATAGCCTCCTAGGTTAATTTAAATTCAATGGTGATATAGCTGGAGCATGGGGGTAAGTTTTGTTCTGGACACTGAATTTGCTTTCAAGGAAGTGCTTCTAACCGATCTTCCAAATTTGAGATAGTCGGCCTCTTTTTTAAATCTTCTTTTGACAATGTATTCAAATCTCGGAATCTCAATTTTTATGCCACATAAATCATCTAGCCAATTTTACTATCTGCTGAATTACTCATGACTGAACAAGTCACTTTTATTGGATCCTGTGATTATTTATACAGGGACAGTTTTTAAGAAATTCAAGGAATAACTTGAAATCATCAGTTTACGACTTCTAAGTGCTTATTAAGATGTGATCTTTTTCGTAGTTCATACCTACTGCGATAACTTTCTTCCTGCAGATATGCTTCTCGGACACCTGCTGGAGTGTCTGAACGCACGTACGGAGAGCTCTCAAATTGGATACCTGGGTGTGTTGGCTCGAGCTCCTGGATTTCTTTTTGTGGATGATGTGGAGACAAGTCTTGGGGCGATTTCAGCCTCCTGTCGACCTACGAAGCTCACTCACCTGTGGGCTAATGCTCGACAGCAGGCCTTTACAACACTCACTGAGTAGGTGTTTGGCCCTCAATGTCATTTTTGACTCAATTTGTGACTCGTCGATGACCACGTTTTCTCTGCAGTTAGCACGCTAAGACTAAAAATGATATCTGCCCTACATATTAATGCTACATCATTCATACCTTTGAGTAATACTAGTAGTCAGTGGACCCTTCACACTAGCTGATGTAAAATCGCTTTGGCTATTATCTTCCTGTACTTAATGGGAAAAGATATTTGAACTGGCAAGACTGTAAATTTGAGTCAACTCATTTACAAATTCCATATATCCTAAACGGTAATTAGTAATCAAAGAGATAAATCATAATATCTAAATTTTGGAAAGGGGAATTGAATTAAATATTTGAGTAGCTAATATGAAATCTGAATCCAACTGTCAAGCGAAATGAAATGTCTAAGTATACTAACCTCATTCTCACAGTATTTTGATCCCCCTCAAATTTCTTCTTTTGCCTTTATAATAATAATAATAATAATTCAATGAGCAGTCCAAATTGGTTTATTTCTTATAAATTTAAATTTACTTTCGTGCAAGCATTCCATTACATATTATGCTTCATCGTCTCTTCATATCACTCTTGCCATATTAGGGTTGTAAAGCATATTGGAGTAACAGAAGGAAAGATTTCAGACGCACAGCTTCGCTCTATCTATATTGTTCTCCTGGGCTCACTTGCGGACTACACTACCGACTCTCGAGGAGATATAGGCTCTATGTAAGCGTGTCGGTTTTTTACCCCATTTGCTGGCATTGTATAATTAGAGCATCTTTCAATTGAAATGTTTCTTCTAGTGTGCGTGAGGCAGGGATGAAGGCTCTTTTGGACTTCATCAGCAATCTGGTGATCTGTGGTCGAACGGATGTCATTGACAAGGACGTGTGAGTTGATTATTACAAGTTGTCAATATTGCTAACTAGCAAATGGTGGTAAATAGTATCGGTTGGTCATTGCTCGACGTGTATGTCTGATAAAACAGAGATCGGGCGATCGATTCCCATCGACATATAGCAAGTGACATGAATGATCAGTCACACTAGTCAATATGAGGGGAGTTGCTCTCTACCCCCTAATGGATTGTTTCCATACCATTGAACAATTCCATACAAATGAGTTACTTGTCTTTACTATAAAACTTTTAACTTTGCATTTTTTCATCCTATTTAGAATGGAGCAGGTGTTTGTGCAAATAGCCCAACAAGCCGTGGAAAAGATAGATCGAACACGAGCTGTTGCGGGTCGAGTTTTTGTCGGTCTTCTGCATCACGAGTAATACCTTTATTTCCATTAATGTACAACCCTTTAGACCCGAAATTCCTCATATTCTCCATAAGGAGGAACTTAGGACAATCTTCTCGCAGTAATCTCTTATTCCACTCATTCTCTTATGCATTGCTTAACTGTTCTCATTACCAAGTTTACTGTTTAATTAGTGAGGCGTTAAAGGAATTGCATTGGCTTGTTGGTGAACAAACATTTCCTCTCTTTGTACAACTGTTTGACTTTCCCGAGTTCGTCTGTCAACTCGTTCTTGGCTTTTCTGTTAGTGTTGGCGGTGTGACAGAAAACACAGTGAGTAATGCTGGTTGATTAAACAACTAGTAAGTGCTTCTTTATTAAGATTCCTTCTCCTTCCTAGGTGAAAGCTAGTGCCGGAGCGCTTCGTGACTTTTTAGTCAAGCATGCATCTGACGATGAATTTCTGCTACGGTTGATGAAAACTGTTGGCCGTATTTTCACTAACCTCAAGGAACAGCCTAGGTGGGTGAAGTAGAATCCCCCTTCATTTATAGGTCTTTATTAATATAATTAAGCGCTCGATATTTTCAGGCTATGTCTCTCTCTATTACGATTTCTGGAATTCCTTCTCTGTGATCCAGTTATTGCCGCTCGCTTACAATCTCACTTGTATGTGTATTTACTAACAATACCCGCGTATTCTCGTGAAATAATACTTTTTTGCTTTTCTCTGTTGTAGAGAAGTCGTTGATGAGCTGGTCCTAAACACGTGGAGCACCATTCATCTATCAAAAGATATTCCCAAATTGAAGGCGTCAGTTGATATGTAGGTTTTTCATCTTTTTAATTTTGCCGTAAGCCACTTTAAAGTAAGTATAGACTAGTTAGTGGTTAAAGTTATTTTATCAGATTTAATATTTTCCACCCGTACTTGATTCCTTATTTCTTACATCCATATCATTCAATGATAGCTTATTCTCCTTCCAGGAATCAGGTACAAACATTAATGTGTCTGATTCTTCAATACGAATGAAATTTACTAGCTCTTTTCTACGTGTAAGGAGTAGTTTCCTATTCGTGAGTTGTAGGAAGTCGTTTGTGTGCGGGTGCATTGTTAGACCTTACTAATTTAGCGAAAGCCTGCGACTGAACCACTAGATTAAGGCGATGTAGGTAACAACACTCGCATGATACTGAATTGAGTATCTACTTGACGGGAAGTGTCGTTTTGTATGTAGGCGCGTTACAAATCTCATACTTTTAATAATATATTTCAGTTAATATGTATTGTCGTATGTTTTAATCATGATTAATATTGTGAAGGTATATATATGCTTAATTTCGATTTAGATACGGGGCGGCTCTTCAGTTTCCTGATCCACTACGCAGTAGGGCAGCTTTGTATTTGACTCAAAGTCTACGGCACAAATACCCCATCGTTAGTCTATTTTACAGTACTGGAATAAAATTTTTGAAAGATATAACATTTATCCTTTTCCCATTTAGATTCGCAAAGCTACGGCGGCAAAACTATACGAGTGCATTTTAGTCTATGATGTCGTCGATCCTGATGCAAGCACAGAACTATCCGATTTACTTTCTGAGACTGTTTGGTAAGCCATGAAAAATTCCTTGTTTGACATTAATTTACTCTTTTGTTGAAGCCTTTTCTACCTTTTTCAGGGAACAAGAAGTCACTGAGTTAAAACCAATTCGCCTAAGAATATGTGAACTCCTTGGTGTACAAACAACACGGCCTGGATCCTCTGCATCAAATGTTTAAAGGGACTTTTATTGTTTCATATTTATTTGTAAATGCTGTTGTTTTGGCATTCTCAATATTTCTTTAATCAGTTTGAATGTTTAATAAACTGCGACTGGGTGGTGGACTTCTCCTTTTCTTTCGGAATAGAAAGAATAGTTTCTCTTAGCCTGGTGCTAGGCTATTACAATGCTAACATTTAACATGAATAAGCAAAATTGCTAAGAATATAGATATTTACGGTCAGAATAGTGACAATTTGTTAAAATTTATGGTAAATAAACATGTTAAAATTTTGTTTTAAAGATTCAATCCCAGGCGCTAAAAATAAAAAGGCGACCTCGTGAAACCAATGGCGAAATCCAAGATAGTGCATCCCAACAGTCGTAAGGCCAAACAGAATATTTCCAAGAAGCATCACCAAGCAAAAGTCCAGAAGTAAGCAGATTTAATCATTTTTAATGTTTACTAAGGCGCAAGAAAGTTCGCAAATCTAAGGATGACTTGAAAAGTAAGTTCATAACTTTCATCAATTTTTTTTTGCAATAGGAGTCAAATTATTGTGGTTCAAGGAGCACATACCTAATGACAAAGAAAAACTATCCGTTGAAGAACTTAGACAATTGATTTCTAGGTTAGTTTATTTTTTCTCCCCATGAACCTCTTATGTACATTTGTTTAAATACTTTTTTTCAGATATCTGGAACGCTTCGAACTTGAATCTAAAACAGAAAGAAAGGAGGCAACTAACTGTTCCGTTTCCGTGACTGTCGACATGGCAATCGAACACGTAAAGCAGGAATCTCATGAATTCTTGACAACTGGCCTATTAGTTCCGGACCTAACCTCCAAACCCAACTTTGAGAAATTTATGCAATGGAATGGCGAAACGAACAAAATGATATCCATACCCATGATTACTGTGAGAAAGTCTTGTATTTAATAATATGCATTGTATATAAAAATGAAAAAAAAGATGTTCGCCTTTCAATTAGGGCTCAGTGGGAGGGGTTGTCTTGGGAAGGTCTAACGGGCGAAGGTATGCTTGGCAAATCCAGTGAGGTTTGGATAACGCTCGAGGTTCCGATGAGGGACTCCATTCTTCAAGCATGCATCTCTTCTAAAGTGTGCAAAAATCAAATTTTGTAATGTAAGGTGATTCGGTGTTGCAATGGATAACGCACGAATCTCTTGAGTCAAGGGTTGGTGCATAACCAGAGACGTGCACCGGTTACTATGCTTGAACAAGAGGAAAAGTAGGCTGGGAGTTTTTCTTTATTTCTGCACCGATATGTATTATCTCAACTTGAGGCAAGTGTTGCGAACGCTTCTAAACACTTCGGAAATGTTATAAAGCTACTTGAGAGATCTTAAAAAAGATGGTTAGCAATATCGGAACGTCACTAATTGATCAAGTGCCTTGCAAAAGCACTTGTATTTACATTACTTCTTTAACTTAATGCACAAATATTATTCACCAACCAAAATAAATTCCATCGTTTTGACAGATTCACAAAACGCACCCAAATATAAGAACATATAACAAAGATACATCTCAATTTCAAGTGCCTTCTAAAAAGTGATGTCTATCGAACTAACCTGTATCGTGAAATAATAGGATAAATTTTAAAACTAAATAGATGAATTCCAATGACAAAATAGTAAATTATAAATTCTTTGGGATCAAAATCAGCCAAAACATTCAAAGAAATTTTAGAGAATCAATTCAATACTTACTTCGCATAATTCCTTAAACGCGCTAACATAATCTTCAAAGTCTTCTATTGATTTCATGTTTGCCAACCGTTCACGCATATCTGTATGTACACAGTGCCTGCAAAACGGAGAGGTTAGTGCAAAAAATCAATTTTTACAAATAAAATTAGGATTAAAATTTACGCATTCCGAAAGATTTTAAATAAATGGCCCCTAACAAATGACATGGGACAAGGAAATTCCCTCACAAACTCCAAATATTCTTTTGCAATGTGAAAGACATTTTGTTCTTCGGTGGAAAATATCGTAGGATCATAAAGATGAGGTTCTGCACTCATCACAGCATCTGCACCAGTCGCATTCAAACACTCAGCAATATTGTCGTAATTTATAATATTCCCATTTGCTATAACTGGAACGGAAACCGCTTTTCTAAAAAAATAAAATATGTAAAATATTATCAGCCTACTTGACAGCTTTAATCTGTTCCCAATCAGCAAGACCGGACTTTTGTCCACTTTGTTCCCGTGTACGGCCATGAACAGTAAGAAGTGTGGCTCCCGCATCAACTAGCATTTTCGCGTATTCAACTGTTCGATTTACATCAGGAAAGATGCGAATTTTTACCGATACTGGCAAATTAACGGCAGCTTTGCATTCACGAACTAAATGCAATTTATTGACACAATAAACAAAATGAATTGATTACTCATTGCTGCAATAAGTTCCCATTCGTCTTGAAGATACGATCCATAATGACCGCGACGAGCAATTCCTTGTGGACAACCAAGATTTAGATCAACACCATCCACATATTTTTCAATTAATTTGGCAGAAGCAGCGAATAAGGAGGGTGAATCACCGCAAAACTATTTTATAAAATTTCGTCAAGATTTACCAACCTGTGCAATACACGGACGATCCTTTTCAGAAAATTCAATTGATTTTGATCGATAAGTTTCGTCTTTCATAAACTGTTTAATGTTGATCATTGGAGTAAATGTAACGTGAGCCCCATATTTTCTCGCAAGCATTCTCCACGCCAGTTCACTAGCATCAACCATAGGAGCCAATACATATTTATGGGAATCCTTAAGAAAGCTTGATCCCTCCTTCTCCAGCTCCATATTCATAAAGCCACTATGTAGTGCGAAGGCGAGAAGCGGCCAAAAATACGTTTTCTTTTCGGAGCTTTTTATTGGCATACATTAGTCCATTAAAAGCAATTGAAGAATAACATAAACAGATTTTAAAGATTTCTTAAATAGTTATTAATTCGCCTTAATTTTCGTATTATCCAATACTGTTATAAAATATGGCGCAACTTGGTTTTATTGTAACTTTCTTGCATTTACATATACCATATATCATCGAATGTTGTCAAGCAAATGAAAAAAGAACGATCATGATTCGAGATTTTATGGTGTTTTAACCTGTATTTTTTATTTAAGAGAATATTCAATAAGAGCTAAAGTTTAAAGATATCCTATTTTTAAAGTTGAAATCATTCCATGTCAGATAAATTGAAATGATGATAAATACAGCTATTTATTTGACTGTCTTTAGTAATAGAAAGCTATTTTATGGTTTCTAAGATAGTAGATAAGCATTTTTGTTTGTTTCTAAACTCCTTCTTGCGTAAATCAACAATGAATCTTGAAATACTTGATATACCTTTATATGGCACTAAATCGCCAATATAATGATCTTTATTTTGGAGGACTTGAGTAAGATATTAGCCATGGTTAATGTGGTTTGAACAAGATAAACCACTCTAAGAGCAATACTTTCTAACAAAACTATAAGACCATTAATGAAAGTGCCTCCTTCATGTGGATTGTAGAAGATAGATGGAGCGGCAACCATTCGATCATATTTTGTTGACCAGAATTCGAGTGACAATATGCAGTTATGGATAAGCAACATAAGCATCGGTGCCATGATCTCTAAGCTAAACGTCTTACAGACGGAACATTTTTCGCACTAGTCCATTATTTTTAAATGTCCCATGCACCTGTGAGTCAAACCCTGTATACATCTGACAAATTCCATTTATATTCCTCAGTATTTTTTTCAAGAAGTACGATTAAAAGGAAATACAAAATTTTATTTCGTCTTCATTATGCCATGAGGCGACGTGCCAATAAGATATAAACGCCACAATGTTGGGAAAGCGAATTTTGTTGAAAGTAATTGTGTCGTCTACTTGTAGCATACTAATCTACAGATGGAAAATTGGAGAAAGGGACTGCTTTGAGTAATTACAAGGTTTAAGAAGAATGTGGTTCAGGTTCTGGTTCCTTGTTCCAATCTTTCAAACCAGGAGGGAGAGCTGTGTCTTCATCAAGTGGGCCTAAAGGAAAAGCAAAACATTAGATCGTTAAGTATTAATGATAAAACTGTTACTTGTTTGACCATACAACTGTTAATAATAATAATGACACCCTAGGAAAACGCATTTTAGCACACATTTTAAGCAAAAGTAAAACAGTGCAGACCCCAGTGGCTAACTACAATCATAGCAACATTTTGCTTCGACGATTCTTAAATCAATAGTTAATACTCTACCCCGCCAGATAGAGCATCAAACATACATGAACCCTACGTACCTATAAGAATTATAGCCGACGGACTTGTAATTGATGCTCTAATTTGTTCCTACCCCGTGTGCTAATTTGGAAATTTGAATTAGGTCATATTCGTTGTGTGCATTCTACACTGCTGTAAATTATAGTGACAGAAGGTAGAAGCGTGTTTTCGACACTAGGGGTGAAATTCATATCTCAGGTAATAAATCTAAAAATTATTCTTTTCAAACACCCACGCTTAAAAATAAGGCTGATTGATTCCATATAATCAAATTATAATAGTCAGAAAGCGTCAGTTAGTCAAAATATTTTCTGATTCCATAAAAATGCATGCACACTGTAACTCGGTGGCAATGTAGCGTTACATCGCCAGAGATGTCACCCCTCTTTCTAGTAATCAAGGTTAGAAATTATAAAAAGTCCAAGGTTGATTTGCATGGTAAACTTCCAAAAATAGAAGGCTCGGGCTGAATGTAAGATACAAACACATCGAAATTGGTGAGCTGCACTCTTGTTTGCCTACCTACTTTCGATTTTGTAAAAGAAACTAAAAACTTACATCTGAAAGATTCTTTTCCTGGTGATTTTAAATTTAGTTCCAAAAAGGTGAATATACCACAAGCAACCATCCTGTTGACTTACCAGAACCAACAATTTCCTCATAGGTGTTCTTCTCCAGGAACGGTCTTGGACCAAGAATTTCCACTAAATCTTCTTTTTGTAACTGTTCTTTATCCAGTAATCTAAGAGCCAACTAAAAGACAAAAAAGCTTCATAAAATTATAAAAAACCAACTCAGAGACAACAACTGAACAGTTCAACTCACAGCCTCCACATGCTCCTTATGTTGCTCAACAAGCTTGATGGTTCGATCATAGGCCTTAGCAACCAGTTGTCGAACCTCTTCATCGATTAGTTGAGCTGTTTGCTCCGAGTATGGTTTAGTCATCATGGGTTCACCCTGTTGAGGTAGATCAAAGGAGAGATTACCAACTTTGGATGAGAAACCCAATTGGACAATCTGAGCGTAGGCGGAGCGAGTGACGCGCTGCAAATCATCCATTGCACCGGAACCAACCTTGCCAAAGAAGACCTGCTCACTGGCACGACCTCCCAAAGCAAGGCACATTTCGTCGAGTAGTTGATCTTGAGTGTGCAGATAGGCATCCCGGGGCATGTATTGGGCGTAACCGAGAGCCTTTCCTCGCGGAATGATTGAGACTTTGAGAAGAGGGTTGCAGTGCTCCAAGAACCAGCCCACTGTTGCGTGACCGGCTTCGTGATAAGCTACAGTCTTCTTTTCTTCCGGTTGTAGAACCTTAGTAAAATGAAGACATGGATACTAATTAAGCATTTATACGCTAATTTTGGGGCGCTCTTTAAGACTGATATCCAAGAGACAGTACATATATCCTACTATAGCGATAATTTCAACTCAACATTGAGATATTTTAAACATTAAACGTTCCAACGAAAGAGTAAGTGATTAAAAATGGAAAATAAGTATCAGCCAAGATATAGTACTCTAATTTCACTGAAAATAAAAAATCAACCGCCACAAATACAAACTAATGGGACTACGAAAAATACTACAACTTAACATTCATTATTAAAGTAAAATACTAATTAAAGCAGGATAAAAATGCTAATGAACCAATATTTCTTCAATTTAATATAACGCGGACAACAAATTTTGGCTCATACTAGTCATCGAGCAGTTGGCATGTGGCATATCTAGCTTAAAAATTGTACAGCCCCTGATGTACTAATTCATCTAGTAGCAAAATAATCGGAAGTGTTGATCGAAGTATTCAATCACGAAAATAACTTGGAAAACAAGCGTCGTACACCTTTCGAGCCTTTATAGCACCAAAATGAGTGCGATTTTAAGGGCAGAGGTTACTTGACAAAGTTGAAATTCTTTGATTGTACACTTCTCCTCCCACTTCGAAATATTACACATCAATACTGTAAATTTATTAAATAAGACCTGGTAAATTAAAATATATTTAAACAGTCAAATTAAAAGGAAACTTGGTTAAAAACCCGGCGAAAAGAAGACCACTTGACTTTTACCACATATTAAGCTTCACTTTTAATTTAATCCTCATATTCGGCTAAAGCGTGAGGTATTTCAAATTAAAAGGACACGTCTCCAAGAAAATTATGCAGGGCGTGAAGTTTCCATAATTGCACAAAAATAAGCCATGGCCTTGAAATAGTTATTTTTTAAGAATTTCGTTAACTCAATCCTTGGCCAATTAAAGAGAATAAATCAAGTGATTACAGAATACAGTGAAACAACATACGAAAAAATGGCCATTTAAACCTAGCACAAAATAATTCCAAAGCTGATTTAAATTTTAATATAACAAACGTAAGTAAATCAGCAATCAATCTAATTTCAAAACAAATATTCCCAATTCAATCGGACCTTTGTATCTAGCATAAGAGTAATTGCAATCTCCAAATGAAGTCTGTTAATTTCTTCTGCAAATCTATGAGTTGAGATAGTGCAAAAAAATGGAAAGGGATTTGTATCATTCGAGTTAACTTTAACAAAAATCAAGTCTATGAAGAACACAGAAAAGTGTCGTAAGGGGAAAAGCGTATGGGCTATTGCTAGTAATTATGAAATAATGTCTGCAAATAGAACACAATAGTTGGACCCTATTATGTGACTAAATTAACAAGTCTGTAAAAAAATAATGTTCAAGAAGATTTCAGCCAACTGGAAAAGATGCAGAGAACAATGATGCCATCAGTAACATGAGAAAATGCAAAAAAGATCTCAGATCAGTCAACAGGCATGCGGTCGAAGGTAGCTACAGCTAACAAATAAGTAGTGTACGGGATAAATAAGGCCTACAAAATTATCACCATTCCAAATTTTCATACTGGCAAAATATGATAGAGGAAAAGTAAGTAGAATGTACTAAGAGAACCAAACTAGATACCGTTCTCGTAAATGGATGGAAGAATGATGAGATAGAGGAAAAAATGAAAAAAAACTGTTGGCAATTAATTTATTTCTAGCTCCTTACATTTTGGCACCTACCTGGTATATTAATCGAAATGAAGTGAAAAAAAAACACTTTACATCAATAATACAATAAAAATATTCAACATCGAACATAGACTATTACACACACACGCACACACACCAATGGTAGCAAGCTCTGATTTCGTAACATGAAATAATAAACTCCATTTCAATTTAAACTCACATTTGTGAAGATGGTAATCATAACCAATAGTTGTGAAACGACGATTTCAGCTTTAATTTACAGAATATTTCACTATTAGTGATCCAATTAATTAAATTTTTCACGACATTAAATATTAATCCATATTGCTTAACAGTTTCAACCTCTTCTTACTATTCAATTCAATAACTGAGACTTTCGTGTGTCCAAAGACCTGGGGTCAAGTACCTCGGTCCGAACCAATACAGGATACTCAATACTATCAACACGAAGTCAGCTTCACCTGGTTCGTCAACCATCTGAAATCATCTGACTCAAGTATATTATTTACAATGCCTCATAATTCTCCAACAGCACCCACGATATCCACCAGCACCAATAGATCACCCCATCTCAACTGGACTCCTCTCTATTGTAGAAGATTGCCACTAATAGTTCTTGCTAGTTGCAGCTGCCTTGTCGTCTATTAATTTTTGGTGAAGTGAGTACACAAAATAGCTAAGGACATAAATCAAATACCTTGCTGTTTCTTAACATTTCTTTTAAAAACCCCTGTATAAGAAATTCTCAAACCTGTTAAAAATAGTTAAAAGCTCTTATATTGGAAGGCTCTTCTGATGGGCAACTATGCAACCACTCTTCTACCGATCCGTATTAATGATTACACTTAAACAAGAAGTTCAACGGATTTGAAAAAAACTTAAGATATGAAAAGTCTACCTGGCTCTTCTTTTCTAAACCTGCAATAACACGATCGATCGCGGCGTCAAAGTGCTTGAGGGACACCGACTTGGCGTCCTCACGAGCAGCAATAAGAGCAGCTTCATTGCAGACGCTGGCGATGTCAGCTCCAGAAAATCCAGGTGTGCGTGCGGCCATTCGACGAGCTACTTCAACCTTGTCAAGAGCTGACTTTAGTGGTTTGAGATGTACCTGTTGTGGAAAGATAGAATAGAAACAGTTAAACTCTGACTATTGAAGCATAATGTAAATCTTAAAATTCAAGATCTATGGAGACAACTAAGGCAACGGATTCATCATTTGATGACACAACCGAATACTTGGTGAGTACCTACATGTAAGCATACCTCAATTTTCTTTGTAGCCTCTTTGTACATGGGAATTAATACACCGAGCGAGTTGACGAGGATCCAAATAATTATCGTAAGTTTTCACTTCAGATGAATATATCACCAAGTAGGATATCTCTGAATTTTGCGCGTTCTTCAAAAGTAGCATTTAAAGTGCAAGAATGGTAACAGGCCTCGAGCAGAAACAAGTACTGATTCCTGGACATCGGAATATTAGAAAAAGAAGTGAACTATGTTCACCAAAAAGAGAAAACCTAGAACCTGGTTCAAAATAGTCACAAAAAATTTTTTGGAACATTAACTTTAGCCCCAGATATTAGCTAATTCTCAATTGACTAGTATATTGTAGTCGTTTTGAGACACTTCACCATGATAAAAATGCAGTAAGCTGAAGATGAGTTACTCATTAAATGCATTATCCCCTTGTTTAATAGATGTTTGTTAATATGACAGAGACTAAAAAACACTCCCCTTCTGCAATAGTCTCAGGAAACACATTCAATTACTCTCTCAATCCTAACTTCAGATAGAGTGAAGGTTGGCAGATCAGTGACATTTGGGTGATTTAACCACGCACTGTTTTACGTTAGCAGCTTAATACTATCGATATTCCCCGTTTGGCAGTGGCTGTGAAAAAATTTTCAGGTAGGAGCGAATGCTACATAGTTTAAACAAATTTGCCACAATTATAATAATTGTTATAAATTCTAGTAAATATTAAGTCCCTATATTTACCTTAAAGATTGAAGCACGGCCTTTAATATCTGGAAGAGAGACATAAATCTGACGATCAAAACGACCAGGACGTAACAAAGCAGGATCTAGAATATCAATCCGGTTAGTAGCTGCCAGTACAACGACATTTTCCTGAGTAGTAAATCCTAAAAAACAAAAGAAGCATATTAAAGCAACATTCAAGAAGCAGTCAAGTTTAACAGCAAATTAAAACTCAGAGAGAAGATTAGTAAACGGCATCATCGGTAACCGCAAGAAGCATTACCACAGCCGGTACGTTTTAATCATTGTAATGCAAGAAGCATATGATTTGAAATATAACTCAAACGCACCATCCATTTCAACAAGGAGTTGATTGAGAGTGTTCTCTCTTTCCTGATGGCCGAAGGATGAACCCGAACGCTTTCCACCGATAGCGTCGATTTCATCGATGAAGAGAATACAGGGCGCCTTGGAGCGAGCTTGATTGAACATGTCGCGAACACGTTTTGGACCAACACCGACAAACATTTCAAGGAATTCGGAGCCTGAGACGGAGAGGAAAGGTACGTTGGCTTCACCGGCAGTAGCTTTAGCTAGAAGAGTCTTCCCTGTACCTGGTGGCCCCTATAAGAAAAAGGCAGAAATTAGTAATACAATAGCTCCAAAAGTTTAGGGCTATTTTGAAAAAAAATAATTTAATCAATAAAAAGGGATTTTCTTTATTTGAATTGAAAGGGCCCAATAAATGCGTCTGAATAAGTAAGTCCAATAAGCACGACGATATTAAACGACATGTTAGAGAGTAATATTACACTTTGGTGAAACACAGCTAAACTATTATAGGAAAGCTATTACTTAAAAGATTTCGACTAGGAAATGAAGGCCACTGTTTTGAAATTAGTTAAATAGACTTTTAGGCTTTAAATTGCCTTTATTATTGATGCAAGTCAAAAGTATAGCAAACGAAATGAAAAGTAGGAACCTAAACTTAAAAATCTAAGGAAGCAATTTAGAAATCGGATTAGGGCTTAATTGTCGTGAATTTTGTACTTTAAGGCGAGCATTACCCACCCGACCTACTTTGTTCAATTAAATGTTACCAAATAAAAAGACAAGCTGCTTTGAGCAAAAAGGTGAAAATAAAAATGTGCACATTTTAAACGAAAATATGTTGTTTGCCTAAGGAAATGGAAAAATGCAAACTGGATGAATATTTGAAATTAAACAACTCTCAACGAAAAAAACTATCTAATAGGACTAAATTAATCGATTTGGTCAAGGGCACCGACTAAATACTAAAATATTTTGGAACACTAAGCAATGAGTAGCATTTCGCATTCGATTTAAAATTGCTTTAGTAAAAGTCACTCAAACTTGTCACTTACCTTGAGAATTGCGCCTCTTGGAATCTTGGCACCTAGAGCTTCATAACGAGCTGGATTTTTGAGGAAATTTACAAATTCAATAATCTCCATTTTGGCCTCTTCACAACCAGCGACATCAGCAAAGCTAACACCAATTTTATCCTTTTCAATCAAACGAACTGGAGATTGACCAAAGTTGAATAGACTCGATCCCATTCCGGGCTGGGAAGCAAAAAGAGAAGTTCGATTTGTGAATACATCGATAACCAAATAACATAATTAAAAAAGCTAATGAGATTTAAGCGGTAGACTGCTTACATCGAAGGGATTACTAAACTTAAATCCATTATTCTTAACAGGCTATTGATAAAGGCAAAATTTCAGTAAAAAAGTGATTAAAATAAAAATAAACAAAAAGGAAATCTACTTACCTTGCGTACAACGCCACCTGATGTTGACTTGAAAGAATAAAAAGCGGCACCAATCAAGGCAGCATAGAAAGCCATGTAAATAAAATCGGTTCTACAAAGAACAAAGCTCAATATTTCCCATTTTCAAATTCAGACTACACGCAGGTTAGAACAAAAATAATTTACGGTCTAAATTGAGATCTGTAATTAACAGGAACACGATTTATCGGCTCGACGCCAAGATTCGCTTCTAATTCACGAAGACTGCGTTCAAATGTATCCACAGCCCCAATTTCGAACCAGTAGATTGGCTCATTTCCAGACGTAAGGTTAACTGTATTAACGTTACCATAGGCATCCCCGGATTCGCCATCTCTTACCCGAGCAGCTCCAAGCGGTTGAACATAAACACGAACCCATTCTTTATTTACCACTTCCAAATGATGAATACGACCACTGAAAAGAGCAAAGATTTAAAGTTAATATCAAATTGATACAATGCGGGAAGTCCCGTATTAAACATACGTCTTGAGGAAGTTTTCTGCAAACTCTTTCCAGGTTATTTTGTGATATTTTGAAGCATTATATCCAACAAGGGCCCCACCACCGACTATGGCAGCAATAATCCATGGACCAGCGTTCCAAGTGTTCGATTGTTGAGAACCCTTTGGTCCATTGCCACCACCACCGGTACCGAATGAAAATTGAAATTGGAATTTAGGTTTGGTGGTTTGTTCTGGTTTGGCCTCTTGTTTCTTAGAACCCTGTTCCTCAGCGAAGCGCCAAAGGGAAAACGGGCGACGAAGTATTAGACGTTGAATAATATTAGGAGTTTTGAGACTGGTGGTAGTATAGCGTTTAGTCTAAAAGAATACAAAAAAATATAAAATTAAAAGTTAATAAGAATACAAACTACAAAGGGAAACGATATTTAATTACTAATATCAAATCAAGGCAATGGTAAAAAATAATTTGCATTGGTTAAACACAATTTGAAATCAAAGAAATTTTAAGTTATTTAGGAAATCATTAACCTGTAAACCGAAACACCTTGAAGTTAGACTCATAGACGCTGAAGCAACATTAAGCACCGAAGGCATAACTCTGAAAATCGCGACAAAACAGGTTGAACAAAACAAAGTTAACAGAATAATATGATCCGTATTTTGAAATCTGGTCTTGATCTACGCTAAAAGAAATTTCATCAAATGTAATTAAATTTTTAATGATATCGACGGGAAAAATCCTAAAGGTAAATGCTGATACATAATTAATAATTATGAAAAGAATCATTCAGAAACTGAGCCAAATATCGAGGCTGAAAATTATAATATACTTTGGCTTGCTTAAAACTTCTGCTTTCCGACACTTTAAATATTGGTCACTTCAATTACTTAACAGTCACTAAATTCTGCTTTCTTTCCTCAATTTATGGAAAGCGTGTGGCTGCTCATGAAATAGATTTAAATCATCACTTACAAGTTCTCAGTTATCACCGTATTATTCCGCTAATTTTCATTCGAAATGAACTTCTTTTAAATTCACCTTGTTATCTGTTTCAAATTTTGATAACCACATCGGCATGATCTCTCTTACCTTACTTGTTTAATTAGTAAACTTTATAAAAATTTGGTGCTAGAATTTATATTTAAACCAATACTCAAACGAGTTTATTGAGCAAGTTTAAATTGTTAATTAGAAAAATTGCATCGCAAAAGTATGTTCTAATCAGGGAGGTTCCTGAATAATTATGTTTAGTTAATATGGGTACATGAAAACAATTTCTATTCAATATTAAATGATCGTGCCTTAAATTAAACTCATTTCTCTCTGTTAGTTCTGCATTGTCAAAACTTACCTCATGACCAAAATTAACGCCATTTTCAAGGGTAATATGCATAATAGTTCATTAACAGGTTGTGATTTATGCTTTTGATTGAGAGGTCGACTTAATGGGAGAATAGATAAAGTTCATCATTAAAATGAAAATCTAAATGAATGAAGTCAGGCTAATACGATATTTAATTTTATTTTGGTTTATACTACTCACACTGGCTCGTGTCTGCTCGTTTTAGTAAGCACAAATTGACTTACGCAGGATAACGCCAGTTCCACAATCCTGTTTTCTTCTCCCTCATCCAATTCCACTTGTCCCACACACTTTTGATCATATTTACATTTACGATTTGTCGCCCAGTGAAAAATGTTTTATCTTACTAACACAAAGAAATCTATTATTTTCACTAGTAGATTTAGTGAATAATTCTATCAGGTTTTTAAGGTTTCATGATTGAGACCAGGTTCTTATTTAATCTGACCGTTTAATTTTCATTTCACAAGGATTAATCATGATATTTAAAATTCTAACTTTAGTAACTCTAACTCAGGATTCCTGTGTTACTTTAACTTATTAATGTTCATATTTAATGACGGGCTGATTAAATTAATCTTAGTTCATGTTGACTCTCAGACAAATGTGTGCTATTAATTCATATTTTTCTATCAGAAGCCATTTTGGCACATAAGGTAAAACTAAATGGCAACAATTCGGTGGTACAAATAAAAATTTTATTAGTTCAAAAGTATTTCACATAGAGCAATGGAATTAATCTCCACGAATTAGTTTCATCACTTTATGTCAAAAAACTCTATTCAATACGAATTCTATTCCGAATTCTGTTTCCCAAGGATGCGATATATTGATTCTACTCTAATTAGAGTTAGAATTTTTTAAATCTCTGCTGAGGTGCTAGTAGTTATGACTAATCAAATTTATATTCCCATTATGCTGCATTCATGACGTCTTCTACTCGAAGTAAATAAAATTTTAACTCATTGTCACTTTCAATGTGTAATATTAACGCCTAAACACTCTTTATAAATTTTACAAAACAATTGATTGAATAAATATCTGCCATTATAACCTGCAATTAATAGATTAAATCCAATAAAAGCTTTTTGTGGTTCATTAGTAGTCTGAGAATTAAAAAAATGTCAGTTGGATTATTTAACTTATCCAAGGTTTGAGCGGCAGTTTGAAGGTTGGTTCCTTTAATTCATTTCCTTTGACTTTTATTATTTTTTGGTTTGGTTAAATTATTTCACTTTTATCTTTTGCGAAGATGGCTAAGGCTTTCTGGATTGGGAATGATGCATTAGTATGTCATGCCTTTAATAAGGATGCTACATTGATGGCAATTTCTATTAATACAAACAATGTCTATATACTCTCTGTTCCTCAAACGTCGGGTGATAAATTCAAATTAGTTGATACACTTAAAGAGCATACCGGTCTGGTGATGGGACTCGATTGGTGTTCGTCATCTAATCAAATCGTATCGTGTTCAGCTGATAGAAATGCCTACGTTTGGAAGCAAACACCTGAAGGCAAATGGAAACCCACTCTTGTGGCCTTACAAGTAAAGGATAATTTTCCGTGGGTTCTTTTTTGTGGCCTCTCTTAACTTTTGTTCCCTTTTTAGCTTAACAGAGCTGCTCTCTGTGTTCAATGGTCACCAAAAGGTGATAAATTTGCTGTTGGTTCAGGCAGCAAAGTCGTTTCAATATGTTTCTTTGAACAAGAGCAAGATTGGTGGGTCTCCAAGCACATTAAAAAAAGTCTAAAATCAACGGTTACTTGTGTCGATTGGCATCCGAATAATACTCTCATCGCATGTGGATCAACGGACTATCGTGTTCGGGTTTTATCAGCTGTTATTAAAGAAATTGATTCTGATTGTAGCGATTCTGTCTGGGGTCCTAAAAGTCCCTTCCAAACTCCTCTTTTTGAGGCCTACGCTGGCCACGGTAAGCATTTTCTCAGAATAATTATTTTTGTTTTCCTCACTTGATATCTAGCTCATGTATTCCATTTGCAGGTACTTGGATTCATAGTGTTCGATTCTCAGCAGATGGGAATAAATTAGCTTGGGTCGGTCACGATTGTTCCGTAAGCGTTGCTGATGCCAGCGCTGGAAATCCGCCAGTTGTTCAAACCATTCGTAGCCAATATCTACCGTTGCTAAGTGTTATATGGGTTGCCCCAAACACTATTCTTGGTGCTGGTCATGATTGCTGTCCAATTCTCTTCAACTACAACGGACCCAGAGGTGGCATTTCTGCAGGAAAGATGGTGAGTCCTACTTAAATAGTTTAAGTAGGAGCAGTATTATGAAAAATCCGTTTTTATTTTTTTCAGATTAATTTGAAGAATGAAAGTCAAGGAGGGAGCGAACTGTCTGCTATGCAAAAATTCCATCATATTGATCGGATGGCCACTACTAATATTACAGATACACGTCTTTCTACCATTCACCAAAACTCTGTGAAGTGAGTTGAACCCCTTTTCTTCAATTTGTTAATACTCTTTTTCATTTTTTAGTGAACTTGTAATACTCAAGGGCGATAGGTCAAAGGCTATTCAAGTCACATCGATTGGACGGGATGGCCAATTAGTGATCTGGGATTTAATTTCCCTACCCTCACAAATTGCGGGTCTGTCTATCAATTGAGCGGCTCACTTTTATCCATTTCTTTCCATATCCTCGATTCTTCATTCAAAATTTTCAAGACCACTAAAACATATAGCTGTTTCAATGACAATTCACATTACTCGACGTGTCCTCTTGCCCACTCCGAAAAAATCTTTTTGTTTCGTCTCTGTCGCTTCATAACTTGAACCCTTTTTTATATGCAAATC